AGATCATTCAGTATCAACTAGAAAAAGAAGTAAAAACAATTTAAATAAAAAGATAGTTTGTTGAATGGCAGATGTTTGATTGGTTTTGGTCGACCATATATCTAAAGTGGTCCAATGAATATAAATGTTATGTAAGAACGAGTAGATTGACTTAACTAAACACATAAATTCTTTGTTGATAATGCTTAATTTTCTTTTAATTTGGATTCAAGTCTATTTATGAATTCTAAACAGTCTTTGTCTATATGTTTGTAGAGAATTGATTGTAGCCTTTAGTTGGATTTGAATGATATGCCGGTTTTTTTTTTAATTTTCACGTTTTGAAAATATTATCTTTTTATTATTTATATTGTTTATTATATTTGTTTTAAAAATTTAATTCCGCTTGTGTTAAAAATAATTAAAAAATAAAATATGATTAATCTGTTAAAATTAACTATTTAATATTTGACAATTTTTTAGTCAAAAGATATTTATATATTAATTTAATAGCAGAATGCCAGAATAATTGAATAATAAACTAGCCGAAATGAAACTAAAAACTGAATACATTTGAAATGCTAATAATCTGGTATATATTAGATAAATATTTTTTTTAAATTAGTTATAAATTTAAAATATATAGAATGAATTAAAAAATACCGTAAAAATTTCTTATTTTTATCATTCGGTATTTATTATTGTGAATGATATATCTTAAGTTATTATCACTTCTTTTTATAAACTGTGAGAGTCATTAACATTTTTTAGATTTATTACAAAAAATCAAAAATATAACAACTTTTTTTGGGAAAGCAGATATATTTTAGGAAATGGTATGAAAGTTAGTTGAAAAGGTAGGGTCGTAGAATTGAAAATCTAGTAATTAGCATCGGCTCTGATTGGTAACACTTGTGGAATGGTGGAATGGTGGAAAAACTTAAAAACGCAAGAATTTTGTCAATAAAAAAAACTTGCGGTAAAACGCAAAAACGCAAGATCTGCGGAATTGCATTTTTGCTTACAGAAAATACAAAAAAATCTTCATTAAGCGGAAAAGCGTGTTTGGAGTAGATTATTTATGGAATCAATGTTTATATTATTCAATTATATAACTAATTATATTTTATTATTTAAATAAATATAAATAAATAATTTAGTATTGCAAAAAATTATTTAATGATAAAGTTATATCTATTATTTAAAGTTTGCAATATTTTTTTATTTTTTTTTTATTTTGAAAAACAAATTATTAAAAACTTACAATTAGAATTATATTATTTTATAATAATTGATTGAATTATTAATATTTTATTTTTTATAATATATAGTAAAAAGCATAATATTTTTAGATAAGCATATTCTGCAATTCTGCCATTTCATCCAATCGTGTTAAAAAAAAAAATTTCGCAATTCTGTAATAAATTATTCCACAATTCATTTTCTCCACCATTCCAAAATTCCGCGATATAAAAAATGTGTTACCAATAATCTATAGTGTAATGTTTAGTCGCTTTTAGCTATACATGCATTGCATATGAAACTCTGCTCGAGCCTTTGATTCAGATGAGATGCCTCAAAAGACGGAGATGGATGGTGATCCCCGGACACGCATCTACCACTACTTTATAGTATCGTACGTAGCTTGTTTCAGTTTTGTCTGTTTTGTTCAAATTATTATTATTAGAGTGATTTATTAAATAAGACATTTTTTTGTAATACGGGCACTTTTGCTTCCCTTTTGCTATGTAGTTTTTACTATATTGTGCTTAATGAATATTGAGTATGGTTATTTTGTGTGTTTGTTGTAAAAAATATAGCGGGATCCACATAATCGTAGACAAAAATTCGTATGAATGGATGGGTTGAAGTACATGTAGCTGTGGACAAAGATTTGTTGGATGCTCCACGTTATTTCGAAACTTAGATGATGAAGGAGAATTTTAAGATAATGAGTTTGATAGTGGTATATCTACGATAATATATTCATATGGATGTCTACGTTATTTTACAAATCATGATAAAAGTTTGGTTGTTCATACTCTATAATTAATGTACTAGACATATGGATAGACAAAGACAACGAGGTATACATGGTGTTATATCCATGTGGATGTATCCATATAGATGTTCACGATTGTTTTATAAATTGTAATAAAAGTTTTAGTTGTCCATACTAAGTATGTTATATAGATAAATGGAAATAATGATATATAATTGTTGGTATGTTCACAGTGGTGTATCCATATGGATGTTCACGGTGGTTTATAAATCATGGTAAGAGTTTTGATTGTCTATAGTAAATGTGCCATATGGATAGACGAAGATAACAAGGTATAAATGTTGATATATCCACGGTGGTGTAATTATATGGATGTTCACGATAGTTTATAAATTGTGATAAAAGTTTTGATTGTCCATATTAAATATGTCATATAGATAGACAGAGATAAAGATGTATAAATATTAGTATGTCCACGATGATATATTCATATAAATGTTTATGGTGGTTTACAAATCATCATAAGAGCTTTTATTGTTTATACTGAATATGTCATATAAATAGATGGAGATATTAAAGTATAAATATTGATATATCCATTGATGTATATCTATATAGATGTCCGCGATTTATAAATCATCATAAAAATTTAATTATTCATAATAACAAAAAGGAAGGAAGATGCCATTATCTTTTCAATAGGTGGATATAATAAAGTGTTTTTCTATCTAATTAAAAAGTAATAAAGTGTCTTTTATATAATTTTTTCTTATTATTATTATTTTAAGCCTAGAAGCACAATACTTGTTTTTGAAATTGGAAAGTCATACAATCTGTGAAATTGGGTGATTTGTTAGTGGATTTTTTTTTATAAATTCGTTATATGTTAGTGGATTAATCAAGTTTCTCGATGACAAAATATCCAGCTAGTGGATTTTTATATGTTAGTGTCTCGATGACAAGAATATTTAGCTATGACTACATAGAGTAACTACTAACTAAGATTATGTGTAAAATTTCCACAAACTATATCAGTAAATAAAACATTAGTTAACGTCAGTCGTTAAGTTAGTAACCTTGTTTGTTTCGTCATCAGTGACGACATCAATAAATAATGTGTCCAAAAAATAATAGGGCAAGCAAACTGCAATTTTAAAGTCTTCCGGATACAATGCCTTCAAATAAATAATGTACCACTAAATTACCATGATTGGTTGCAAATTCAGTAAAATGTGACATTATTTATGTAAATGTTGCGGCATGTGGTTTATTTTATAGTCTCCATGTTTCAACAAAACAATGTAGATATTGCGTATCATGATATTTTATCTTGAGAAATGAAACCCACGATAAAATACACATTATTATAGAAATTTAATGTCACATTATCACCTATATATTATTTTCCCAGTTATCACCCCGTATAGGTCAACTATCTGCCAAACTCATTCTACAACAATCAACAAACAAAATTGCAGAATCCTTTTAAAAAGAAATATAACCTCTTCAAGTATGTGCATGCATTCTATGTTTTAAAAAATATAACACTAAAAATGATTAAAATTATTTTTGGATGCTTTTTATTTATTTATTTAACTAAGATATATTATATTTTCTTGTGATAAATTATGTTTATATATCATATAGTTTTAAAAAAACTTTGAATAGACGCAAAGATATTTGGAGTCAAAAAGGAAACAATCTGAAGTCTACATTATTAACAAAAACGCGAATACAGAGTCATTGATATCATGTCGTATTCCAATACATGTACCATATGTAACGAGTTTTGTTGGTATGATTTGGAAAGCAAAAAACAATGCTAATTTAACATATCTATCGTAATTGAGTGAAATAACGATTAGAGAAGAAAGAAGATAACAATATACAATATCTGTTAGCGTATAACTGAGTGAAACAATTAGAGAATAAAAAAGATAACAACATACAATGTCTGTTAATGTATAATGTTTACTTCGAAAAAAAGCAGCTCTTCAAATTCGCTTTTTGTATTTTTAGTATATGATGTTTAAGCTGCTTATAAATTAATTTTATATTTTAATGTTTTATATAATTTTGTAATCTTTTCGTACTTTAGTAATTTAATAAAATTTAGATGGCAAAAAATAAATAGATAAATTACTTTTAGGTAAATATATAATTTGTGAAATAAAAGACAAAGATTTATACCTTCAAATTTAAGGTTTAGTCTTGTGTTAGTAATATATTATACGATAAATTATAAAGCGAAGTGATAAATTAGATGGGCACATTACAAAATAACATATGTAGCAAACTTTCTTTGTTCATTAAAGTTACATGTCATGTAATAACTAAAAATAAATATTCACATCATTATTTTGAACATTTATAATCAATCTCTTTTTGTTTCTAAACGAAGATGTAAATATGTAATTACTATGAAATGAGCTTTTAATCTTTTTCCTCTTTTTTTTTCCTTCCGTATGACTGACTTTAGTGGTATCCCTCCCTATCGCAATTTTTACGAAATCGTGTGGCCCTTAAAGGCCTAAACCACAGCAGCCGAATTTGACTTACCCATCTTCTTCTTCATTAACCATTTGACTTTTCTTTTTGACTTTTTTTTTTCCAGTCAGGATTTGACTTTTCAACTTAAAAAATCACAATAAAATTAATTTTTAAAATATATAGTTCAATTCAGTACTTACCCATGTCGCTCTGCTCAGCAAGAAGTTTCCTTGATTGCAACCACCTCCAAACTCACGATCTGCCCTTTAGGGGATTCCCAGATCTCTCTCCGTCTTTCGCGCGCTCTCTGGTCAACTGAAATTCCATCTCGCCGGCAGAATCAGGTTCCGATTGTCTCGTCGGCGATAGTTCCGACCTTTCAATTCGTCGATTCTGTTTCCAGTTAACCGATCGATTGATTAGAAATGGCTTGCTTGTTCTTCTAGGTCTTTCTTTAGCAGAGACTTGTTTGCTCTACGACTCCTCGATTTACCCTTACCTCTTCAAGTTCTTCTTCAAATTCGTACTAATGGCGATTAGAATTACCTTGACCTATTCCACCTATGTTGCTCGGAATCTCTCTTCCTCCGCCGGAGTCCGTGTTGGCTCCGGCGGGGACCTCCGCTCCTGCTTTGAGTACTTGGTTCGTCCCATGTTCTTCAGCCAGAAGCCCGATCTGGACAAATCTCCCCGGATCCGACCCGCCCCGATGTACACCAGCATCGCGAGGGAGATCATCGGAGAAGGGAGACAGAGCCCGTTTGTGATGGGGCTGATCTCGATTTTAAAGTCATCGTCGGCTACCGAGTCGTCGTCGACGGTGAACGTGCTCGGTGTTTCACCATTTAAGGCTTCTTCTATCATTCCGTTTCTTCAAGGATCGAAACGGCTGAATCCGCCGGAAATCGATGACATCGACAGGGGAGGAACGGCGTGTGATGATGATGATGATGGCAAAGAGCTCGGGAAGTTGGAATTTAGTGAGTATAAGGAATCGAGTGGAGGAAGCGGATGGGTCAACAAGCTTTTGAACATCTGTTCGGAGGATGCTAAGGCTGCTTTCACTGCGGTCACCGTCTCTCTCCTATTCCGATCGGCTCTTGCGGAGCCAAAGTCGATACCTTCCGCGTCTATGTACCCTACACTGGACGTTGGTGATCGCATTATGGCCGAGAAGGTAACTATTCCGAGTCTGCTTTACAGTTGCTAAAATCTTGATTGTAACACTAGATTTTGAATGATAAAGATGAAATAGGTTTTGGCATGTTTAGTACGGTAATAGTCATGTGGTACTCTTATGGTTGTTCTATGGGAAATTGCTAGATTGCATCTTGAGGATTTAGCTGTTGTTATATGAGACTCTTAAGCTTCTTATAACTTGACTGACCAATTTGGCCAATCTTTGTTTGTGCCTTGGTTTTGGACAGGTCTCATACTTTTTCAGGAAGCCAGAGGTTTCAGATATAGTAATCTTCAAGGCTCCTCCGATCTTGGTGGTAGGGTCACAGTTCAAAATTATTGCTTTTTGAATGTTTCAACCTCTGTGTGGTATCTTGTGCTGTAAACAAGTGTTTGAATGTTTTTTTTCTTTGCATTGCAGGAACATGGTTACAGTTGCAACGATGTTTTCATAAAGAGGATAGTGGCAAGTGAAGGTGACTGGGTTGAAGTAAGCCCTTATATCCAATCCACTTGTTGATTGATCCTATTCACCCATTGAAGTCTTTATTCATCATCGGTCGGTATTATACTTTTGTTAGAGGCTTCCCACACAACAAGTTTTCTAAGAAATGGACCCAGCCTTTCTTTTTTTTTTAATGTTTTTTGTAATCAAATTGTTGGTTTAACATATGGATGATGTATCATGCAGGTTCGTGATGGGAAGCTCTTTGTGAATGACAATGCGCAAGAAGAAGACTTTGTCTTAGAGCCAATCTCCTATGGAATGGAACCAATGGTGAGAAACTTGTACTTACCCACCTGTTACATCCTTGTTAAAGTATCAGATTGTAATTGTTCATAACGTTTACTTGTTCATTTGCAGTTTGTCCCCAAAGGTTGTGTCTTTGTCCTCGGAGACAACCGTAACAAAAGCTTTGACTCTCATAACTGGTAAACTCTTTAAACCTTTGTGATCAGTCTTCAATTGTATTGATTCATGGTAGTGAGCATACTCATTGGTGAATGTAAATGTAGGGGTCCACTTCCGATAGAGAACATTGTCGGAAGGTCTGTGTTCCGGTATTGGCCACCGAGCAAAGTATCAGACACCATATACCACAACCAAGCTGTGCCAAAAGGACCTGTTGCTGTTTCATGAGGAGATAAAGTTGGGATGCTTCTTCAAGATTAAGCACAAGATTGTGCAAACCAGGCTTGGTCAGAGAATTGGGCAGCCTTGGAATTAGAAACTCAATGCGTTATGATATCTGCGGATACATACTCTGTATCGTTATAGATCGTATGACATCTGGTTCTCGCTGATGGCTGTGAAGCCGGAAGAATTATGTGTAGTAAAAGGAAGGGAAGATGTAAAGACAAAAAAGGAAAAAGTTACTGTTGTTTGTAAAAGACAAAAAGTACCCAATGTGTGAATTTGTTTGTTTAATTTTGTATCAACGACTTGGATTATCGAACAAAATGGAAATTCATATACATTGACATCAATCAATTACTTTCATATACGACATTAGAATTTGAAAACTGCAAAAAAAATCTACACTTTTAACAGAGTAGTGTGATAATTTCAACAAACTTACTGTACGGGAAAAAACTTGAAAGGTTTTTTAAGTCTTCGAGGAAGAATCTTCTTCACCTTTACAGGTTTATTCGAAACTCTCTTGAACTGCGATGGTTTTACTGAAACAATCTTCAACTTGGATGAAATCTTTGGAATATCTTCAAATTCTGTCAGAGGTTTTCTGATCCTCAACCTCCTCTCTCCACCTGCGGAGACAACAGCCGTCTTTGGATCATCTCCAATCAGAAACGGATGCAACAACAACTCCGAAGTGCTTCCTCTATCCTGAGGCCTTCTTGCGAAACACTTCTCCAGAAATTGCCTTGCATCCAACGGCACAGTCTCTGGAATCTCCGCGTTGTCCTAGCCGAATAAATCTGTAGTCCATGTTTGTTCAAAGTCCTGAGTTCCTTCATTTCATCCAAATATGCAAATTATCAGTCTTAGCTTTTTGTCAGTATTTCAATATGTTCTGATCAAGTCGAGATTATTCAGAGAATGGCTAGTCGAGTGAAAGGAGACGAGAAAAACGAGAGGATTATTAGGAGTCTTCTCAAACTTCCTCATAACAAGAGGTGTATAAACTGTAACAGCCGTGTAAGTTTTCTCTTTAAGAATGTCTTCATCATCATCCAAAGAAACGAAGAAGATTACCTTTTAATCTCATTCTTTCCTGGTTTTGTTAGGGACCACAATATATTTGCACTACTTTCTGGAATTTCGTTTGTGTTGGAACTCATTTTTGACGAATGGCTCAAGCCAGTTTTCCGGCGATATTTCTGGTGAGCACAGTTACCGAAATGATCGGATTATGAATTTTTTGGATTCCTTGTAATGAGTACTATAAGATAATGTATTCATTTGTCAAAAACGAAGTTGATTTGAATGAGAAATTTTAAAGTGGGCATGTAGTCAAGACAAAAAGTCAACAAATGTCAAGATGAGCATTTGTCCGACATCGAAAGTTGGAAGAATTTTCCACTAGTATATATAGTGACACACTCTCAACAAGGTTCACTAGCCTTTAGAAGAGAACACTATGGAGAAGGAGAGAAAAGTCTGTTATGCAAAACCACACACGTGCGGGCTTGGGCTTGGGCTTGGTGAATCACAACAAAATATTCTTTTTGGAGTAAATATTTATGAACTTATTTTTACAAATATGTTAATATTCTTTAAAGATAATTTGCATAACTCGATAAATCTTTATGATTGGGTCGAAAATTAATAACAGAATATTTCCGTAATATGTCTGTTTCCCCCAGATTCTTATCAGAAAGGAATAGAAGATTTTCAGAATATTTCCATTCTGCTATATATACCCGCCTTCTCTCATTCATTATTCTTCATCAGCGAAAACTTATAGCTTTCGAAAACACAAATATCCAGCAAATCCCTCTCGTATCTACAGTCTTAGGTGAGTCTCGAGAGTATAACATAGAATTTCAGTTCGCAGATTCTATAGTCGAGTGCTGCGACTTTAGTCTCAACACAGTTGTATCTTGGGATTCTGAATCTCTTCAAACCGCCACACTACGGGAGATTTAAAGAATTAAAGAAAGAGATCATATCTCGACTCCGTATTTTTCGTTTCTTTTCTTAATCGTTTTATTCAATCGTTTTATACTATATTATTATTTATATAGATTTCAATCGTTTTATATTCGTGATTTTCAATCTGGATTTTCGCGGTCCTACAATCTTAATTCTTTAAATCCGTTTCCTCCTAATCGCTTGAATCAGATTGAATATTGCGAACAATACTTCAAAAACGATTTTAAAACGTTTTCTGATCGATCTACAATGCTTCTGTGATTGTCTTATAGCCAACCATAGAACGTTTGATCTTAAAATCAGACGATTATCATAAAGACACAAAACGATTTCCGCGTCAGCTCTAGGCAGGATCGCGAAACGTTTGTCTATAAACGATCTTATAGATCTGAAACATATCGTTTAAGAACACCTTTAAGTGATTTTTGGGAACGATTATTAGGGTTTAAGAACGCTTTTAGGCGATTTCTGTGAACAAATTAATAGTGAATTAAACGTTTTTAATCGCTTTTCTGGATTGAGATCTCAAAAACTATTCTAGTTCGTTTTCTGTGATTAGATTCAGAATGTCTACTAACGTTGGACTTCCGAAGAACACAAGTGAGCCAACACTGCCACAAGGGAATGGTCTACCACACACGGTTCCATCGATTCCAACCGCTGGACTTCAACCTAAAAAGTTCGATGGAACAAACTTCAAGCAGTGGAAGAAGCGGATGCACTTCTTTCTGTCCACGTTGCACCTGACAAAGTATCTCACTGAGATTAAACCAGTGCTTCCTGCTGAGAATACAGATCCTCATATGCTTGCTACTGTCCAAGTGTGGATCCATGCAAACTTTCTGTGTAAAGGTTACATCCTGAATAACCTTGCAGATCAGCTGTACGACCTGTACAATGAACGTTATGAGACTTCTAGAGATGTCTAGATTGCTCTCGAAAATAAATACAAGACCTTCAACGTGAGTTCTGGAAAATTTGAAACTGCAAAACTCCTTAACTTCAGGATGGTAGACTCAAGGCCTCTTATGGATCAAGTGCATGAGCTACAAACGATATTCCAACAAATATCAGATGAAGGCATGAAGCTGTGTGAGACCTTCACGGTTAACTGCTTCATGGAGGTGCTGCCCCCAAGCTGGGACGGTTTCAAGAGCTACCTCAACTACAAGCAGAAGCCTCTGTCGTTGGCTAACTTAATTACCAGACTTCAGAATGAGTCACAAAAACGTGACAAGGCTGAACCACCTCAGACACATGATGCAAATGTGGCTGAGTTTAAGAAAAAGGGGAAAGGAAAAGGCTTTCCTCCAAAGGCTGCGATTCACAAAGTTGCAAATCAAGCCCCCTCAAACTTCAAGAAGCAAGCTCACGCTCCTAATAAGAAGTTCTCTGGGAAATGTAACCACTGCGGCAAGATGGGACATCGTTCTACAGACTGTCGCAGTAAAGCCAAGGGTGTTAATCAAGCCAACCTAACTCAAGCTGATCTGTGCGCAGTTGTAACAGAAGCTAATATGGTTGAAGAAAACCCAAGGGCATGGTGGTACGATACTGGCGCTACCACACACATCTGCATTGATAGAGATATGTTCAACACCTATCAAAAGAGCAAAATTGATGAACATCTGTTGATGGGAAACGTGTCCCACTCCAAGATTGAAGGTACCGGAAAGGTGGTGCTGAAGATGACATCAGGAATGGAGATCACGCTCTCAAACATGAAGCATGTTCCAGACATGAGGAAAAATCTGATCTCTGGCACGCTGCTGAGCAAGCACGGATTTGCAATCAATTTCGAATCTGACCAGCTGATTCTTAGGAAGAATGGTGTTTTCATTGGAAAATGATTTGTTATGGAAGGATTGGTCAAAATGTGTGTAATGACCATCCTCAATAAAAACGATGTACCTGTTTCCAAAAATGATAAGAATAAGAAACCACTTGCTTATTTGGTTGAGTCTTCTAATATTTGGCATGAAAGATTAGGACATGTGAATTATAAGTCTGTACAAAGGCTGATGAATTCGAACTTAATCCCCAAATGCAAAATTAGCAAAGACAAGTGTGAAGTTTGTGTACAATCAAAACTCACAAAAACGCCATCTCCTCATGTTGAAAGAACAACCGAATCTCTTGGCTTAATCCACACTGATTTGTGCGATTTAAAGTATATACAAACAAGAGCTGGTAAGAAGTACTTCGTGACTTTCATTGATGATTGCACAAGATATTGTTACGTCTACTTACTGCGAAGTAAAGACGAACTCTTGGACAAATTCAAAGAGTACAAGCTCGAAGTTGAAAACCAACTGGGAAAAACCATTAAGATGGTCAGAAGTGATAGAGGAGGCGAGTATGATGGACCTTTCAACGCTTTCTGTAAAGAAAAAGGCATCATACATCAAACAACCGCTCCCTACTCACCAGAATCTAACGGAGTTGCAGAGAGAAATAATCGCAATCTGAAAGAGATGATGAATGCAATGTTGCAGGAATCTGGGACACCCCAGAATCTGGGGGGGGGGGGGGGGGGGGGGGGAGCGCTGCTCACCACAAACTACATCCTCAACAAAATTCCACACAAGATTACTAGCAAAACGCCATATGAACTTTGGAAAGAAACTGTACCTTCGTACAAATACCTCAAAGTGTGGGGGTGCTTAGCAAAAGTCGCTGTGCCACCTCCTAAGAAGCTGACAAATGGGCCTAAAACGGTTGATTGCATCTTCATCGGATATGCACATAATAATAGTGCTTATCGATTCCTAGTACATAAGTCAGATGTACCAGACATCCATGTCAACACGATAATGGAATCTAGGAATGTGTCTTTCTTTGAAAACATCTTTCCATGCAAAGAGAAACAAAGTAAGAAACGTATTCATGATGAAAGAGACGCTAGCATCTCTATAAATGAGGAGAGCACTTCTGGAATTTCAGTTGATGAAGCAGAAGATGAAGAAGATGAACCTAGATGTAGCAAGAGAGCACGCAAGGAAAAATCTTTTGGTGATGATTTCTTAATGGTATTTCTCACAGAGAATGAGCCGAGATCATACACAGAAGCCATGTCTACACCTGATGCATCTTTCTGGAAAGAAGCAGTTAATAGTGAAATTGATTCTAAAATGCAGAATTATACCTATGAGATCACTGATTTACCTCAAGGTTTCAAAGCGCTAGGGTGTAGATGGATATTCAAAACCAAGTTGAAAACTGATGGTTCAATTGAGAAGTACAAGGCCAGACTTATGGTTCAAGGATTCAGATAAAAAGAAGGTCTAGATTTCTTCGATACCTATTCTCCAGTAATGAGAATAACTTCAATAAGAATTCTGATAGGAGTTGCAGCCCTAAGAGAACTCGAAATCCATCGGATGGATGTAAAAACTGCCTTTTTAAATGGTGATCTAGAAGAGGAGATTTACATGAAGCAACCCAAAGGATTTGTGGTCTCAGGTCAAGAACACAAAGTCTGTAGACTTGTGAAGTCATTGTATGGTCTGAAACAAGCTCCAAAGCAATGGCATGAAAAGTTTGACAATGTAATGATGTCAAATAGTTTCAGCATAAATGAGTGTGATAAGTGCATCTACATCAAAAGTACCCCTCACGGGTATATCTTGCTGTGTTTATACGTTGATGACATGCTCATCATGGGAAGTAACAATGATATCATTCAACAAACCAAGACAATGATTAATGGTCAGTTTGACATGAAAGACATGGGTCTTGCGGATGTTATCCTTGGCATAAAGATTACACGCACCTCTGAAGGCATCACTTTGTCTCAAGGTCATTATGCTGAAAAGATTCTTGAGAGGTTCAAGGCCTACTCAAACGGAAATGCGAAGACTCCCGTGGATTCGCAACCATACTTGACAAAGAACTCTGGTGAAGCTGTTTCACAAGTGGAATATGCAAGGGTCATTGGCAGTCTTATGTACTTAACCAATTGTACACGACCAGACCTTGCACATGCTGTCAACGTGTTAAGTCGTTACACAAGTAATCCAGGTCATACACACTGGAAAGCGATAACAAGGGTATTAAATTATTTGCGATACACCAAGAGTTATGGGCTGCACTACGGTAAAGAACCAGCATTTTTAGAAGGATACAGTGATGCAAACTGGATATCAGACTCAAAGAATTCGAAATCCACAAGTGGATACATCTTCACTCTAGGAGGTGCAGCAGTATCTTGGAAATCTTCCAAACAAACTCTATTAGCAAGATCCACAATGGAATCTGAGTTCATAGCGCTAGACAAGGCAGCAGAGGAAGCAGAATGGCTATGGAATTTCCTTAAAGACATCCCCATGTAGGAGAAACCAGTGCCGGCATTACGAGTGCATTGTGATAGTCAATCAGAAATAGCTCGGGTATTGAGTAACCTATACAATGGTAAGTCTCATCACATCAGAAGGCGACATAAGACCATTAGACATTTGATCTCAACGGGTGTAATCTTGGTCGATTACATAAAGTCAGCTGACAACCTTGTAGATCCGTTCACTAAAGGTTTAAATAGAGATCAAGTTTTGAAATCATCAAAGGGAATGGGTTTATTGCCTATGACTAAAGAGGATGTTTGATGGAAACCCCACTTATATGATTGGAGATCCCAAGATCTAAGTTCAAAGGGACAACCAAATCGAACAGTCTGATGAAAGCACTGAAAGACATAACGTCTGTGCCCATCTCCCAGAACGATGTACAGTGCTCCCTGTAAGTATTAAAGGATAAGTTTTATACTTTTAATGATTTTGAGTAGCTTTCATAATATAGAGTATAACATGATACTTGTGTATATGTCAGGAGCTCAAAAAAATCACCAAGTGAGTGTGAAATGCGGCCGTTTCTAGGAGGATGAAGACAAGGCTATATTCCAAGTTCACTCATGACAACCAGGCAAGTTCACGGCCACAATGAACACAATATAGAACTTAGTTCTACGAGAAGATGGGATTGGGTTGTACCTGTTTTCTAAGTTTACATAAAAATCCAGGCGGTTCAAGACATCATGTTCACCTCCTGGCCAAGTAAACTCGACAAATATCAACAATGAATAGTTCAAGGCTGAAATATGCTACTATATCATACACAGTTAATTTTTCGCTTATACTCTCGAAAAGTCCTAGTGTCAAGTCCTAATGTGTCTGCATAGTCTTTCGAGTTAGTAGAGTCTGCATATGTTTTAGAGTAATTTCTATTCATGTGGAGGATTGTTGGAACTTATTTTTGACAAATGGCTCAGGCCAGTTTTCCGGCGACATTTCCGGTGAGCACAGTTACCGAAATGACCGGATTATGGATTCTTTGGATTCCTTGTAATGAGTACTATAAGATAATGTACTCACTTGTCAAAAACGAAGTTGATTTGAATGAGAAATCTTTGGTCAAAGTGGGAATGTAATCAAGACAAAAAGTCAACAAATGTCAAGATGAGCATTTGTCCCACATCGAAAGTTGAAAGAATTTTCCACTAGTATATATAGTGACACACTCTCAACAAGGTTCACTAGCCTTTAGAAGAGGACACTATAGAGAAGGAGATAAAATGGCTGTTATGCAAAACCACACACACGCGCGCGCCGTGCCGTGCCGAGCCGGGCCGGGCTTGGGCTTGGGTCTTGGTGAATGTGGGCTTCTATCCGCTATATATACTCACCTCTCTCATTCATTATTCTTCATCAGCGAAAACTTATAGCTTTCGAAAACACAAATATCCAGCAAATCCCTCTCGTCCCTACAGTCTTAGGTGAGTCTCGAGAGTATAGCGTAGAATTTCAGTTTGCAGATTCTATAGTCGAGTGCTGCGACTTTAGTCTCAACACGGTTGTATCCTGGGATTCTGAATCTCTTCAAACCGCCACACTAAGGGAGATTTAAAGAATTAAGGAAAGATATCATATCTTGACTCCGTGTTTTTCGTCTCTTTTCTTAATCATTTTATTCAATCGTTTTATACTATATTATTATTTATATAGATTTCAATCATTTTATATTCGTGATTTTTAATCTGGATTTTCGCGGTCCTACAGTTTGTATCAACTGCAGTGGAATACAGTGAGTTCTTAGATTCTAAAACTTTGTAATCTCATATTCTTGTGTTTTGTGTTCTTGATTGATATCTGCATATAAATGTGTTTTTTCCATGAGTCGTGAGTTTACTCATCGCGTTAAATCAATATCAATGGCGAAATTTACCTCACAAGAAATCTCTGCTCTAAAAGAAGGTGTGAATCAGATTTAGTCGGTATTTAAACACTCTGGACAATTGTTTTAAGAACAGAAAAAAACTCAAGAACAGAGGTTCCAAGAACTAAATGGCGAAAAGATCAACAACGGGGAGGTGACTCAAGAATCAGAGAATAACAGTTTCTGTAGCCAATCCCGAGCTGTCCCAGACCTTAATGGTGGTTGTTGCCAACAAAATGGGAACTATTCTCTGTGTTTGGAGGAGAATCGAGTTACCTTGAAAAAAGAAGTCTCTGTTAAAAATGCATCATTGCGGATAAGTAGCAGCGAGAAAAAGGATCTTCTTGTGTACTCAAGGTTTGTGCTGCAATGTCAATGTGGTTTGAGAATTGGGAGAAAGAAGATACATATGCTGCTTTAGCTGTTGCTTGTGCTGCTGTATCCGTGGCTGTTGCTTATAACTGCTATAAACAATTGAAATGAATCAATTTGTTATGTATCTTGCTTCCTTGGAATGGTGATTATTATCTCTGCCCTTTAGTTTTATTCCTCTTCGTCTGTATAGAGTTAGAGAGGAGGCTTTTTATCACTTTATGTAAAAACTGTTTGTTTTTAATATATAACTAGTTAATAACCCGCACTTTGTGCATGCTGAAATAATTATTATTAATTTAGATTTCATATAATTTTAAAATTATATAATATAATATAATTAAATTTATATAAATTTTATATAATATTATACTATAACATTGTCAATATAATTTATATATATAAAATATAAGATAATCTAATTGTAATGTAAATTAATTTAAATTAATTTAAAAATTAAGTAGCATGCATAGCACATGATATAATTAGGTAGAAATACAAAATTACCATAGAGGTTTTTTATATCCCGTGATTGATGATATGATTATTATTTTCATCAATATCCAAGATTTAGGTATACAATACTTATGAATATATTTAATTACTTATAACTCTTAAATAATTAAATATTATAAGTTAAATAATTTGTTACTTATCTATTAAACATTATTAGTTAAATAGATTAATAAATTTTCTTAGTTTCAAATTAAACTTATTCAAAATATGATACAAATCAATAAGATAATATTTTTTGAAGAAAATCTATATAAATATATGGTTCCATTAATATCATAAAGTAATAATTACCATAAAATAATCTTATACAAATATATAACAATGATAATTTACTAAAATATGAATATATAATGGTTTGTTTTTCTTAAAATTGAAATAATGTTATGGTTTATCTACACTTTAAAAGTGGAATATTTAAAGATATCATTAACTTTTAAGACAAATATAATTTTTAATAAATAATTTATTTAATTCCAAACCGATATATTTATAATTCTATAAATTATTAAAATATTGAAATCACGATATTGTCAATTTATAGAATTTTTACAGTAATTGAATTGATTGATTTAAAGCCGACAAACTAAGAAAAAAAAGCATGAACAAATCTTGCTAAAAATTTGATACTATATATGATAAATCAAAAATTAATTAAAAAATAAATAATTAATATTGGTATTATCATGTTATGATCTCTTACTAAAAAAAAAACAATAATACTATATACCATATTTGTCAGTAAATCTAAATATTAATAAAATATATCGTAATAATTTTTGAAATTCGTCATTATGACTTTTTTCTTTTTAATTGATGTTTGTGACGAAAATAACATATATTTTTAATAATATATTTTTGTATATATTATTATGAATTTTTAAAATATATACACTTAAAAATATTTAGCTTGAAGTACTATATATGTTTTCAAAATTATTTTCATGCATGCTATAATTACAACAATATGTGAATAAAATCATTATGACTTTCTTTTATTTGTTTTGATTGATTTTTGAGAAAAATAAAATATTATTTTTAATTATTTTGTTGTGTTTATAAAAATATTTTTAATAAACAATTAATAAACATATTTTCTAATAAAAGTAGTAAGCATTAGTAAAGTGTTATATATTTTATTATGAATATGAGAAAAATAAAATATTATTTTTAATTTTTCAGTTGTTTAGAGAATATTTTTTATGAATAATCAATAAACATGTATATTTTTAAAAGTACTAAACATTAAAAAGTATTATATATTTTGCTATGATTGATAAAAATAGTAAATATTAAAAAATAATATATATTTATTATAAATTTATTATTTTAAAAATATTATATAATAATTTTTGTGTATATTATAATTAGTATTAAACAAATTATATTAATTTTAATATTATTGCCTTTGAATTCATTTTAAAAAATAAAACATAACATATTTATGGATAGGGGTGGGCACAATTCCCGTTCCATCCCGTCCCAGTCCCAATCCCAAATTCCCGTACCATATGGGAATATGCTTCCTATATGGTACAACATATTGATTACCATTTGGAAATGGGACGGGACGGGACGGGAACGGGAATTCCCGAAGTCCCATTTGTCCCAAATTATATATAAATAGTAAATTTGATATTTAAAATATATTACCAAAAATGATCATTATTATATATTAATAAATTATTTTATATGAACGAAAGTTAAAACTTAAAAGTTGCACCTCTAAAATTTTAACTTATAAGTTATAGTCTAAATGCATGCTGACTGCTGAGATTTGAACGGATTATGTCAGATTTTATTTTTTATTTTATTATATATGACTAATAGACTATATGTGGTTTTTTGTTTACTATTCAATGGATTATGTTGGTTTTTTAAAAAAAAATTGAAGCTTTTAAATTTTAATAATTAAGTTAAGTTTGATTTCATTTGTTTCTTGGTTAATTTATAATCTTATATGATATGTTATTATTAATTATTAGAATTTAGGAAATGAACAATGGACGAATATAAATTGAATTTTAATTTTTTTTTTTACAATTGTCAATTTTTCATATTATTAGATTTTTTGGAAATTCTCATCCCATTCCCGTCCTATCCCGTCTCGTCCCAAATTTTGAATGGAACACATATGGGACAATTATTCTGATTCCCGTAATCCCGTCCCGTTCCCATTCCCGAAAAATCCCGTCCCATATTCTCGTTTGCCCACCCCTATTTATGGACCTAAATAATGGTATATCATGTAATTAGTATAGTAATCTAAGTTTTTTTAAAAAAATTAGCTAAGAATGAATGTGGATTGACACATCAACATAATTGCATCACTGTAAATACTTACAAAAATAAAGTTACTCTGTAAAAATGCTTCTTAATTAATATATAGAGGATGTCAACCATTTTGTAAGAAATAACAGTTTTTTCAATTTGTTCTTTCTGTTTATAAAACTGTCTTATGCAGGATCCTCTCGACCATTCAGCCAATAAATAGCAAGGATAACCATGACTACAAAGATTGTTAGGCCAGCGATGCATTCTATCAAATGCACAGCGTCAACATGCATTTTTCTCTTTTTCAAAGATCTTTGCTTAGCTTCCTCTCGCCTCTGTGATTTTTTCTGAAATCGAAATTTGAAAGAGAAGAGTTAGGAATATTGTAAAATTGCTATTGAAGAGAAAGAAGAGGACCATATTATATATATATGTGAAATATATTAGTACAGTCAAATAAGTTAACTAGAAAAAAAAAATAAGTTAACTGTTGAGATTAAAGAAACTTATCATAGATAATAGGAATATAACTCTAATGTGTTTATTTGGTTCAATAGTTACCCTTTCTTCTACTAATAGTTTACTGTTTACTTGTCATTCCTTCAAAGAAATATAGTACTAAGGGGATGTATTCCATCTATAATTTGAAAGGATTTGGAATATATTAGTATAGTCAAATAAGTTAACTAGAAATATGAAAAATAAATTGTTGAGATTAAGGAGATTTTACGCCATAGAGAATAGGAAGACAAACTATATTGTGTTTTTTTGGTTCAATAATTATCATTTCTTCTACTAATACTTTGGATGAATCAAAACTTTATAAAATCCCAATTTAAAACTATGAGATTTGATTTTTTATATACTTTAAAACTCTATAAAATCCTATTTTAAAAGTATGAGATTTTTTATATTTTTTATTTTTGATATTTCTAGTTAACTATTTGACTATACTAATATATTCCAAATCCTATTCTCCTATTCTAATAATTGAATAGAGAAGTGTTTTCAGATTTTAACTCCCCCTTTTTTTAATGTTTTTGTAATCAAATTGTTGGTTAACATATGGATGATGTATCATGCAGGTTCGTGATGGGAAGCTCTTTGTGAATGGCAATGCGTAAGAAGAAGACTTTGTCTGAGAGCCAATCTCCTGTGGAATGGAACCAATGGTGAGAAACTTGTACTTACCCACCTGTTACATCCTTGTTAAAGTATCAGATTGTAATTGTTCATAACGTTTACTTGTTCATTTGTAGTTTGTCCCCAAAGGTTGTGTCTTTGTCCTCGGAGACAACCGCAACAAAAGCTTTGACTCTCATAACTGGTAAACTCTCTAAACCTTGTGATCATCATTCTTCAATTGTTGACAATTGTGTTGTTGATTCATGGTAATGAGCATCCTCAATGGTGAATGTAAAGGTAGGGGTCCACTTCTGATAGAGAACATTGTATCAGACACCATATACCACGACCAAGCTGTGCCAAAGGGACCTGTTGCTGTTTCATGATGAGATAAACTTGGGATGCTTCTTCAAGATTAAGCACATGAAGATTGTGCAAACCAGGCTTGGTCAGAATTGGGCAGCTTTGGAATTGGAAACTTCAAAACATTCTGATATCTGCGGATACATAATGCATCGTATGATATCTGGTTCTCGCTGATGACTGTGAAGCTATGTGTAGTAAAAAGAAGGGAAGATGTAATGAAAAGAAAAAAAAAAAAAAAAAACTTTTGTTTGTAAAAGACAAAAAATACCATATGTGGGAATTTGTTTGTTTAATTTTGTATCAACGACTTGGATTATCGAAGTGGAAATTCATATACATTAATATCAATCAACTACTTTCATATACGACATTAGAATATGAAAATTGCAAAAAATCTACACTTTTTAACAGAGTAGTGTGATAATTTCAACAAACTAGTGTACGGGGAAAAACTTGGAAGGTTTTCTTCACCTTTACAGGTTTCTTCAAAACTCTCTTGAACTGCGATGGTCTTACTGAAACAGTCTTCAGCTTGGATGAATTCTTTGGAATATCTTCAAGTTTTCTGATCCTCGACCCCATCAGCCTCCTCTCTCCACCGGCGGGGACAACAGCCGTCTTTGGATCATCTCCAATCAGAAAGGGATGCAACAGCAACTCCGAAGCGCTTCCTCTATCCTGAGGCATTCTTGCGAAACACTTCTCCAGAAATTGCCTTGCATCCAACGGCACAGTCTCCGGAATCTTTGGTGCATTGTCCTCGCCTAAAAGACCCTCGACTAAAATACCCTGAAGATCATCAAGACTAACCCCTAACCATGGATATTTGCCGGTATACATCTCAAGCACTATGCAGCCTAAAGACCACAAATCAAGGCTTCTCTCGACGGTGCCGTCGTCGACTGATTCCGACGACATGTACACAGGCGTTCCCACAAACGGATAGTCAATTTCCCAACAATACGAATCACCTCCGGCCTTTGTCGACAGTCCGAAATCGGAAATCTTCAATTCGTAAGAACAATCCATTGTTTGTTCATCGTACCGGGGAAAGAGAAGGAGGTTGCTCGGTTTAAGATCGCAGTGGACATAACCGTGACTGTGAACCGAGACCAGTCCTTGTAGGATCATGCGAGTGAACTCTCTGATGATCGAATCCGACAATGGGCTTTTGTTTCTGCGGATGAAATCGGTTAGGGTTCCACCACTCGCGTACTCCATATGCATCTTGTAGACTCTGTTTCCATCGGAATTGATTTCTTCAAGCAGAGCCTTCTCGAGCAATTGCACGATTCTAGGGCACCCTCTTAGTTCCGTCAGAATTCGAGACTCTCTGACGAGAGCATCGCGTCTCTTCGAGTCGGAGATCTTCACTGCGTTGTAGAACATTGAGCCGTCGTTTTCTCTGTAACCGAACAGATCGACGGAGCCGTACGAACCCTTTCCTAAAAACCTTACGAATTCCATCTCTAGCGGCATTTTTTTCTCAATCGAAAGAAAGACGATGAAATTATGAAACCCTAATTGAAATAACGATTCGTGATTTGGTGAGGAGAAAAGAAACTTCGACTTGGTTAAATAAATATACAGTTAGATATTAATTTGTTGCGGTGAAAAAAAAGGAAAAGGAAACTTTTTTTCTGTCGGAGGAAAAGGAAACTAGTGTAGTCAAAACTACACAAAAAAGGAAAATAGCAAAAAATTTCGTTGATTTCACTATCCACTGGATCCTAACCGTTGGATCAAGGATTTCATAGATTTTGCTTTGGGATAAGATTTTCTTCTTTTTTTTAACAACTGGAGTTGTATTATCATTAATTTTATGATTGGGTAAGAAAATTAATGTTAACATTATTCAATACGAGGAATTCATAAAAGTGATTACAAAGCTAGAAAGAAAGACAGAAAATAAAAAAAATTGAACTCAGTTATCACATCCAAGAAATCGGAAGAATGCGAAGGGCCTAAAGGTTTGATATGCAAATAGCTAAATAATAGTATTAAATCATGAATTTTGGTGTTGATGTTCTCATTAAATTTCGAGGAGCGGAACTTCTCTTCCCCTCTGCATCAACATAGTCCTAGTGTTCTCTTCCCATTTCCTTTTGGTTGGAAACAAATTTTGGAGATGAAAATGTATGTACTTTTATATATATTTTCATGATCTATCTACCATTCTGTTTTCTTTTTGCTCGATTTTTACGTAATCAAAATCTGTCAAAAAACCTTAGTAGTTATAAAAGGTTTTCTTATTGATTGATATACAAAGGTGTTGCTTAATATACAAGAGAGTCTTAGGTTACCCTACTTAACCTTGTTTGGATTGATCCTGGTTTCTTTGGTAGCTTTTTTGGGATAGTAATTGAAGTTGAAGATGAAATCTGAAAACAAGAAACCCTAAATTGATTTGCTTCGATCAATCTCTGGGTAAATTTTTTCTGTAACTCTTTTTCCTAAACAGTGATAACGCAAGCAATTTAGGAATCTACAATCAATCCACAATTATGTGATTGATCCCATATCTCTGTAAATCCTCAATCACATCCCTTGTAATCATCTCTTATTAGCTGTAATTGATTCCCTAATGTAACTATAAAGGGACTTGTAATCGTTTGTACAAAACACAGAAAATAATATTCTCTTACATGGTATCAGAGGGTTCACGATTCTGAACCTCCTTCTCTTCAATTTTTCTTTTTCTTCCCTACTCTAAATCTTTCCTCTTCCTCTTATCTCTCTCCTCTTTCGTTTTTTTTTTCTTCTCCTCTCACTCTTCTAAACGGCTGCTCCCGCTCAAACCATGGAGAATGAAAAACCCTTTGGTGTTTCCAACATCAAATCTCACTATCATATCATCCTTGATGTCCAAGAACACAATTATGATGCTTGGCGTGAGATGTTTGAAACTCATTGTTACTGTTATGGCATTCAGGGTCACCTTGATGGAACATCCCTACCTCTTTCCACGACTGACGAACCTTGGAAACGACGCGATAATCTTGTCAAGATGTGGATCTATGGCACAATCACCGACTCCCTCTGTCGCTCGATTCTTAAAACCAACAGCGGAGCCCGCGATGTCTGGACACGTTTGGAGAACCTATTTAGCAACAACAAAGAAGCCCGAGCAATCCAATTGGAGAATGAACTTCGCTCAATCACGATCGAAGATTTGTCAATTGATAAATACTGTGAGAAACTCAAGACAATTTCTGATCTGCTGTTTAACGTCGATGCTCCAATTTCAGAACGCTCCCTGGTAATGCATCTTCTCAATGGCCTCAACGAAAAGTATGACAACATCATCAATGCCATTCAACATGCCAAACCATTTCCAACTCTAGATGAAGCCAGATCTATGCTGCAGCTTGAAGAAAGTCGTCTCCAACGCCAAAATCGTCATGTTCCCTCGCACCATGACCACTCTTCTGCACCAACGGTTCTTCTCACAGAAACCCTACCATCAGCTCCAACGGCAATTTCCAGCCAATGCTTCTTTTCTCAACGAGGCGGTGGTCACAACAACAGAGGAAATCGCAACAATCGAGGACACCGTAACCAGTCTCGATCTCCACCTCAACGCCCCTTGGCAAAACAACAATATGTGGCCCAACAACAATTTCTGGCCTGCATATTGGATGCCACAATGGCCCAATACTGGATTTCCACAATTTGGAAACAACACCAACAATCCATCTCTTATGGCCCCAGGCATATTAGGCCCACTACCAAATAGACAAAGACCCATTTCTCCGCCACTGCAGCAGCAAAATCATCCCACCGCTGCAATTGCTCACGCTTTCAACACTATGACGTTTGCTGATTCCGGTGACTCCAACTGGTACATGGATACCGGAGCTACAGCGCATCTGACCAATGAACCAGGTAACCTTCGTCTCTCTTTTAATAAGAGCACCATCCCCTCTGTAACTGTCAGCAATTGATCTCTTCTTCCCATCACTCAAACCGGTTTCCTCTCCTTTCCTACTCCTTCTCGACCTCTCTCTCTTCGACAAGTAAACGTTTGCCCAAAAATAATCAAAAATCTAATCTCAGTTCGCCAATTTACAACTGACAATTGGTGTTCGTTATCATTTGATCCCTTTGGTTTCACTGTGAAGGATTACCCAACGGACAAGACGATTCTCCGATGTGACAGCTCTGGCCCTCTCTACCCTTTTACCACTCCATCTGCAAACAACGGCCTATCCTCTCCGCCACCCTCTGCCTTTTTAGTTGATTCCGACACTTGGCATCGGTGCTTGGGACATCCAGACAATTATGTTCAAAATTTATTAGTTTCTCAAGGTCTTATTTCCAGCAATAAACGTTCTCATGTTCTTTGTCATGAATGCCAATTAGGCAAACATGTTCGTCTTCCATTTTATAACTCTAATACCATTGTTTCTGCTCCTTTCGAGATAATTCACTCTGATATTTGGTCATCCCCAATCGCCAGTATCAGTGCCTTGCACTATTATGTCGTATTTCTTGATCATTATTCCCAATTTCTCTGGGTTTATCCTTTGAAACGAAAATCAAACGTTTTCTCAAAATTTCTCCATTTCCATGCTTTTTCTAAAACTCAATTCAATGCAGAAATAAAATATTTTCAATGTGATCATGGGGGAGAATTTGATAACAAATAGTTTCAAGATTTTTTTGGGAAACACGGGATCAATATACGTTTTTTTCATGCCCACAAACTTTATCCCAAAATGGTTAAGCTGAGCGTGTGATTCGTACTATTAATAATATGATTCGAACTCTGCTTTTTCAAGCTCACTTACCACCACATTTCTGGGTTGAAGCTTTACACATGGCAGTTTATCTTCTCAACCTTCTACCTTCATCTTCTATTCAAAATCAAACTCCTTACAGTACTCTTTTTCAAAACCTGCATCTTATTCACAACTTCGTGCTTTTGGGTGCCTCTGTTATCCTAATCTTTTAGCTACTTCACCTCACAAACTGGCTCCCAGGTCATCGGCTTGTGTTTTTCTGGGCTTTCCATCTCATCATCGAGGATATCGATGTCTAGACATACAAAGCCGTAAAATCATTATCTCTCGGCATGTTGTCTTTGATGAATCCATTTTCCCCTTTTCTACTCCCTCACTCCCTAATTCTGATCTTCAATTTCTTCACTCCAACACTGAAATCAGTCCTATATTTTGAAACTTGTTTGAAAGTCCCATCCCATCCACAGCGACGATGCCAAGTTCGCCATCTACTACTCCATCACCACCACCTTCTATCATTCACCCTCCTTCCCCTGCCCCACAAATAAAACCACCAAAACCCAAACGTCAGCCACCACCACCACACAAAATGTCTACCCGAAGTAAACATGGCATTTTCAAACCAAAAGAAATAATCTCTCTTGCCGTTGATTCCATTTCACCTCTTCCAAAAAGTCATAACTATGCCCTTGATGATCCAAATTGGCGACCAGCTATGCACATGAAACATTATGCTCTTATTAAAAAAGGGACGTGGGACTTGGTTCCCCGGCCTCCTGGAATTAATGTTGTGCGCTCTATGTGGCTTTACAGGCATAAATTTCATGCAGATGGTTCTTTAGCTCGTTACAAAGCACGATTGGTGGCAAACGGCAAATCTCAAACACCTGGAGTTGACTGCGATGAAACATTTAGTCCTGTAATAAAACCTGCAACGATTCGTCAAGTTATTCATCTCGCTCTCGGACGTGATTGGCCACTCCACCAATTAGATGTCCAGAATGCATTCCTACACGGGGATCTTGACGAGACAGTGTATATGCACCAGCCTCCTGGCTTTGTCAATCCCGACAAACTAAACATGTCTGCCTTCTTCGAAAATCTTTATATGGTCTTAAGCAGGCTCCCCATGCATGGTTCCGTCGGTTCTCTGATTATGCCTTACGCATTGGATTCACTAACAGCAAGCGCGATCCTTCATTGTTTATTTATCGACTAGGAAAAGAAATAGCGTATCTTCTCCTTTACGTGGATGAAATCCTGCTCACAGCTTCTACAACGAACTTATTACAATGCATCATCAAATTACTTGCGGATGAATTTGCTATGATGGATCTGGGCCTCTTTCACCACTTCCTTGGGATCACCGCCACTCGCAACACCAAAGGCGTTCTCTTGTCCCATAAACAATATGCAATTGATATCCTTCATCGAGCTGGCATGTCAAACTGCAAGCCTAGTCTCACACCAGTTGACACAAAATCAAAGCTTGCTGCCGACAAAGGACCTTCTGTTGCCGATCCTACTTCTTACCGAAGCCTTGCTGGCGCTTTACAATATCTCACCATCACCAGGCCATATATCACCTATGCAGTCCAACAAATTTATCTCTTCATGCATGATCCAAGGGAGCCACATCTTGGTGCTCTCAAACGTATCATACGGTACATCCAAAGTACACTTGACCATGGCCTCCAAGTCATCTGATATGCAGATTACAGCGTACTCTGATGCTGATTGGGGAGGCTGCCCTACAACGCGTCGCTCTACCTCAGGATACGCCATATACCTTGGCCCTAATCTCATTTCATGGTCATCGAAAAGACAGCAGACAATTTTACGTTCTAGCGCCGAAGCAGAATATCGAGGTGTCGCCAATGCCGTTGCTGAAACATGTTGGATTCGAAATCTTCTCCTTGAGATATACTTTCCACCGTCAAAAACAACAGTCGTCTACTGTGACAACATCAGCTCCGTCTACATGGCACACAATCATGTTAATCACCAACGAACAAAACACGTAGAGATCGACATACACTTCGTTAGAGAAAAAGTTGCCTTGGGTGAAGTTCGTGTTCTTCACGTTCCATCATCATATCAATATGCAGATATATTCACTAAAGGACTCCCAATCACACTCTTTCAAGACTTTCGCTCCAGCCTCAACATTCAGAAACCTCATGATGCGACTGTGGGGGAGTGATAACGCAAGCAATTTAGGAATCTACAATCAATCTACAATTATGTGATTGATCCCATATCTCTGTAAATCTTCAATCACATCTCTTGTAATCATCTCTCATTAGCTGTAATTGATTCCCTAATGTAACTATAAAGAGACTTGTAATCGTTTGTACAAAACACAGAAAATAATATTCTCTTACAGACAGAAGCAAGTCGAATTCTCTCAAGATTAGTAAGAAAGATAATGAAACCTTAATTGATTGTGAGGATTTGTGTGATTTGTTAAGGAAACAAAGGAAACTTCGGCTTCTAATTAAATATATATAAACAGTATTGATATTAATTTGATGAGGTGAAATTAACTAAAATAATTCTGGAAAAGCTAGAGGCCATGCACTACAACAACACATAAAAAGTTGATTTCTGGATTTTATTCAATCAGGAGCCACTTTGTTTAAGTTTAGTTTAAGAGATAATGAAACTCTAATTGAATAAAGATTTGTGATTTGTTTTTGTTATTTAACATAAGATTTGTGATTTGTTGCAAAAAAATAAACTATTTGATTAAATAAATAGTTTGGCATTAATTTATTAAGGTGAAAAAAGGAAAAGTTTACACAAATAGTAAGATATATCGTTGATTCCACCATCCATTTGATCTAATCATTTTTTTTGGTCGAATCCATTTGATCTAATCGTTTGATCAAGCATTTCATGGATTTTTTTTTGTCACAAATTATGTCATTCATAATCAAACCGGGTTTGGTACAAAAGAACTTAACACTTGTTTGGTTAAACCATCAACTACGGTTAGCGAAATGAGATTAACAAATCGAAAAGAGACTCTTTCAAACAAAGTCGAGAGAGAGACGATATCTGCGATGATTCTGTGGAGGTCGGAAAAGCATGATCCTTCTTCAATTGCTGAAATTAGGTTCTTGGAGTCCGATTCAAAGGAGATGCATTTGATGTTCAGCGATAAAGCGTGCTCTATGGCTGCTCGCAGGGCTAGCCCCTCCATTACGAGGGGTGATTTCACATGCTCGAAGATTGTCGAGTGGGCTTGACTCCAACCATCACAATTTCGTGAATGAATCTAAACTACTCCTGCTACTAGTAGCTCTGATTTCCAGGCGGCATCCGATCGGCAGACACAGTCTTCTACTGCAGGTACATTCGCGCTTTATTCTCTTGGGTGGGAGGGGGGTATGATGCTTTGAGCATTGACCCATTCACAGGCATCACCGATTGCCTTTGTTATCGTTTCTTGTTCAGAAAAGCCTATGTCTTGAAAAATACAGTAATTCCTTGCTGTCCATAGGTTCCAGATTACCCAGGGAGCAAGGATTCTCTGCCCGAGGCCCACCGGAGGGAGACAAATATTATCCTGTAGGGCTCTCCATCCTGCTCCAAAGCTATCGTGCGCCGCTGCTCTAAACGATGAAGCAAAAGGTACACGATCCCATACTCTTTGAGCGAAAGGGTAAAGGAAGCATAGGTGTAGGATTGATTCACTTTCCCCACAAATAGCACAATCTGGTTTTAGAATGATCTGTCTGTTTGCTAGGTTAGCATTGACTGGTAGCGCATCTAGGGAAGCTTTCCAGATGAACACTTTTATTTTCTCTGCTGTTGGTAATGTCCAGACGTCTCTTATCCAGTTAAATTGTTGCTGCTGCAGAATTGATTCTTGATTCTCCCTATCCTCCAGAGCTGAATAGTAGCCTGTTTTTGTTGAGTAGACTCCTGCAGTGTTTTTTAACCAGATTCTTCTGTCTGGTGCACCTTGTTTACTGGGCTTGATGCTTAGTATTTTTGGGACCAGCGATGGGAATAAACTCTCGATCTTTTCTGTGTCCCACTCTCGAGAGTGCAGCTTGAACAGATTTGCCACCATTAAGTCTGAATAGTTTTCTGGAGCAGGCCCCATTAGTGTTTCCATACTGTCTGATGACAGCCATGGATCAGTCCAGACTTTTATGGACTTCCCATTCCCTATAGCCCATCCCAAATTCTTTCTGAGTAAATCCCTGCCTATGAGAACACCTTTCCAGCCGTGAGAACAACTCGTTGGATATGGGACCTCTAGGAAGTGCTTTTGAATGCAATATTTTCCTTGGAGTATCTGTGATAGTAAGCATTCGGGCTTTGTGAGGATCCTCCAGCTTATATTGGCGAGCATGGCATCATTGAAGTACTGCACATCACGAAAGCCTAAACCTCCATCCCTTTTAGATCTTGTCATCTTTTTCCATGACACCCAAGACATCTTCTTTTCTTCCACTTTTCTATCACACCAAAATCTCATTAGGGCAGATTGAATGCGCTTACAAAGAGATTGAGGGAGCTTGAAACACGACATGGCATGTGAGGGCATAGAGGATAAAACACTCTTCAGCAGCATCAATTTCCCTGCTGCTGAGAGGAACTTTGTGGACCAGTGGATCGATTTTTTATCTGATCCTGTCTACAATGATTGTGAACAACTCTTTCTTTTTCTGGCCAAAGTGTTCTGGAAGGCCTAAATATTTCCCCACTCCTCCTTCATTGTAGACTTGTAATGCTCTCTTAACCCTTTCCTTCAGTTCATCGGGTGCTTTCCGGGAGAAGGAAATAGCCGATTTAAGCTTGTTAATACACTGCCCTGAAGCCTGTTCGTAGAGCTTGAGTATTTCCTTCAGTTTCGAGATACTCTGGGCATTTGTTCTGCAGAAGAACATTGTGTCGTCTGCAAAGAGTAAATGATTGATCCTTGGTGACCCCGTTGCAACTCTTATCCCTTGGAGCTTTCCCTCTTCCTGAGCCTTAGAGCATAAACCCGAAAGAACCTCGCTGCACAAGATGAAGAAGTAAGGCGAGAGGGGATCCCCTTGTCTAATGCCCCGACTTGGTTTAATTCTTCCTCGAGCTGAGTTATTGAGCAGTATAGAGAAGGAGACCATGCTAACACACTGCATAATCAGATTGATCCATTTGGGATGGAAGCCCAGTCTTTTTAGCACTAGATCAATGAAATCCCACTCAAGCCTGTCATACGCCTTGCTCATATCAGTTTTCACTGCGATGAAGCATCTCTTAATGGCTGTTGAGGACTTGAGGAAGTGTAAAACCTCGTGCATAATTAGGACGTTATCTGAGATTGCTCGTCCGGGGACAAGCGCTGACTGGTTTTCCGATATGAACTCCGACAGTATTGGTTGAAGTCTTCGGGTTAAAAGTTTAGAGATTATTTTATAGTAGACGTTGCAAAGTGCAATTGGTCTATAATCATGAATTTTGTTTAGGGATAAAAAATATTGATCCATTATAAAACACTCTAATCCATATAATGAAACAAAAATTCTCTTTTCTTAAAAATATATTATATTTTTTATTTTAACAACTAAAGTTGTATTAGACTTATCATTAAAATTAAAGTTGAGTTTCAACATTATTCATTTGTTAAGAAAGAGTCCCAACATTATTTTTTGTTGGTCATGATTGTGATCATGGATACTTATTATCGCTTAAAGCTGTCTTGTTATCTCTTTTCAAAGTTTCAACTGAAACATATACAATCTGGATGGTTGATGCCAGTATCAAAGCTCTTTTTTTTTGCGAATGTTTGCTATGCCATTTCTCTGATCAGGCAAGCAAAATGCTGTTTTGCATCCTAGTGAGCATTTGTCCATCCAAGAACTTGTCAATTTAATTCTCAAGCTCATCTCTTTGCTGTGATTGAATTTGAACCTGCTGTTGAAACGCTTTAATTTGCAGATATATCTACTCATTTTTATATATTGTTTACTCTAAATGTATAAAATCTGCAAATAAAAAGAGATACTACTTAAAGGATGTCCTTTAAAGAATTATATACGAACTATGATTTATACCCAAGCTATGGTGATGATCTATTAATTGTGGCTCTTAGAGTGGTAATGTTGGACAGTCTAAGCATCAAGCATCAACGTATTCGAAATTATATACTTTGTTTTCTTTAAAAAAAACCATTATGATGGAAAAAAAATCATAAAATCAATTAAATATAAAAAAGAAAAATATATAAAACTGCTGTCATGCAACTGACAAGTCAGGAGGAGAATGCAGAGGACCCAACCCACTCTAATGCACCAGTCGGAAATCGAACCCGGGTCTATACCGTGGCAGGGTACTATTCTACCACTAGACCACTGGTGCTTTGATGTTCAATTAACTAAATTTATATTTGTAAAAATGAAAACAATCTTTGAAGCATTCAATCTATCACCGTAACTTTCAACTTTGAATTAAAGAGACTTCCTACCAAACCCTCCTTACAAAATATCTATTTATGTATGAAGTAGAAACTAGAAACCACACCACAAAACGAGTCCAGTAAAATTCACTTCTTTTCGTATTTTCATAATGTTGATCACAAAAAGAAACGCCTTTGAATACAAATCAATAAAGTCAAATTTGTTAAATCAGATCTAATACAAAAAAAAAAGAGTTAGATGAACTAACTTATAAAAGAAAACTTCAGAGATACAGCTTCATCTTTTACGCTTGAAAATCCTTGTTTGAGTTTCGCCACCCCATTGTCTGATCCGCTCCCGTTCCCCACACTAATCAGCGGATCCTTCTCGCTTTCACTCATCTGAAACATCAAATTGATAAACTCATTACGAACGAACTAATGAAGGTTGAATACCACTTTGTGCCAAAAAAGAGAAGGTCTTTTCAATGACGAGATGTCTTTTCAATGACGAGAAACGTGCTGAATTTTCCTGAAACGGATATGAGGCAGGACAGGACGATGAAGAACTGCATTTCAAGCAAGGTACGATGTTTTGTAAATACGGATGAAAATCAACAACAGAGGAAAAGATCATTCCACTAAAAATTGATTGCTTGCGAGGTGTACTTGAAAGCAAACACGTTTGGTTGGTTAAGAGATCATCTAAAAACGGCCCGGTTACGAAAAGTGTGATATGGGCAAGAGTGATATCGTGCTCAAACATATATATATATATATATATATATATCTGTAACCAATTTACATCCTTTGGTTCTACTACTGTACCTCTGTAACATAATGTACTTCTTTACTTTATCAATAAGTTTAACATAATCGTGATGGGTTCAGATGGGCTTTTGGATGAGATTTATGTTCCGCAAGCTGGGTTTGAAGATGAAAGCATTCTTACTCTTAGAGGTAAGCTATCAATAACAGATGTGTCATGTGTGTAGTCAAGTGTGTTTTGCTACATATGATGGACTCAGTAAAATAAACTTGAAAAATTGTTGCTTTAGGTTTGATGGAACTGTGGAGAACATATGCACTTGAACTGGAAATACAGAGGAAGCGGCATTCAACAGGGTCTTGTGAAACACATTTCGGCAATACATTCGAGAGCACAATATATTGGGATTTAGGTGAATCCGATATGATTATGTGTCTTACGGAGAAGAAGATCTTCAAACGAAATCAGAAGATGTACAAAGGCGAGAAAGTTTCGTTTGTAGATTCAAAGGTATATAATGAAGATTCAACGTTGAACAACAATAGAAAGATGTCTATCGAAAGCTAATTGCTAAATAATTATCCCTACAATTGAGCAAACGTTGTATCCATTTAGGAACAAATAATATAGAGATAATAATAAAAGAAGAAAAAATGAAACAAAGACTAATCGTATATCATGTTAAAAAATTATTCAAGTAAAAGATATAGCATGCATGCAAGACGTGGAGAATAGCGAGAAGATAACACAACCCCATGAAAAGAAAAAGAATTATAAGAATCCATTAGGAAAACACATTAGACCTATCGTTTGGTCGACATAATGTTGAACATAAACATAATTAGAATAGAAGAAAATACAAAAAAATCTTAGTTGGTTTCATCTTAATAAATAAATAAATAAACTTCTTATTGAGGATCCTGCTTGTCTCGACTATTCACCAAATAAATAGCAAGGATAACCATGCCTACAAAGATTGCTAGGGCAGCGAGGCATTCTAACAAACGCACAGTGTCAACATGCATCTTTCTCTTTTTCAAAGATCCTAACTTAGCTTCCTCTCGCCGCTGTGTTTTTTTCTGCAATCGAAATTTGAAAGAGACGAGTTAGAAATATTGTAAAATATGCTATTGAAGAGAAAGAAGAGGACCATATTATATAGGTATGTAAAATATATTAGTACAGTCAAATAAGTTAACTAGAAAATCAAAAAATTTAGTTAACAGTTGAGATTAAGGGAATTTAACGTCATACAGAATAGGAATATAAACTATATTGTGTTTATTTGGTTCAATGGTTACCCTTTCTTCTACTAATAGTTTACTTGTCATTCCTTAAAACAAATATATTACTAAGGGGGTGTATATACCATCTATAATTTGAAAGGATTTGGAATATATTAGTATAGTCAAATAAGTTAATTAGAAAATCAAAAATAAGTTAACTGTTGAGATTAAAGAAATTTTACGTCATAGAGAATAGAAATATAAACTATATTGTGTTTATTTGGTTCAATAGTTACCATTTCCTATACTAATATTTTACTTATCATTCCTTAAAACAAATATACTACTAATTAAGAAGGAATATTCAATTATAAATTTTTAAAAGATTTGGAATGAATTGAGTTTTAATAAGTTAATAGATAATTTTGAGTGAATTAAGAGAATTGTTGTTATGTATTATTAAATCTCTATAAAATCCCACACCACAAAACGAGTCCAGTAAAAATTCACTAGTTCGTATTTTCATAATGTTGGCCACACACAAAAAAGAAAAAAACTACTTTGAATACAAATCAATGAAGCCAAAATTGTTAACATCCATACTATTAATTCAGATTCACTTCAATGTTTAAACATATATAAATCATGTGTTATATTACATGAAATGCCATTGGTTTTTTTGTTTTTTCTAGAAATTTATTAATGGTAGTTTAATCATTTCTTAATACAAGCAATTAATTTTTATTTTTATATTTCTTTATTTAATTCTTATATACTTATTACCAAACACATTAGTTTTCAAATATTCTTTAGATTAGTTTAACTCCAATTACCAAACACATTTCAATAATTTCAAATTTTCAATAAATAGAAATTTCGAAAATTCTAATTAATCATATAATTAATTACAACCAAGTTTATATAATATAAAATGACAATTACAATTAATATATATATATGAGATTAAATTATAAATCTTTATACAATTTAAAACAGTTAGCGAAAAAATAACAAATCATACTTTTCAAATATTTATTATTATGTAACAATATAAGAAAATAAAAATTATAATTAATATAAATATATATAATTAAATTATATACATTTACACAATATAAAACATATTGCAAATAAATTATTACAAAAACAAAAATTATATTCTTATTATGCAATAATATAACCAAACACATATGTTTATAGGAAAATAAATGAAAACCTAATATATTATTTGTTATATGTTTAGTGTAATTTAATATTAAATTAAATTTTGATTAAATTAATTTCAAATTTAAAAGCATCATGATCATATTTAAAAAATCATGATTAATTAACAGTAAATGATAATAATCATATAATTTTATTTAAATTATATTTAGTTCTATAAAATGTCTAATGAATCAATTTTGTAACATTTTATTAATATTCGATTACTAAAATTATGGAGCAAGCTTCCCAAATAAAAATCAAAATATTTTATAATTATAAAATATAAGTTTTAGCATATTTTCAAAAACATTACAAACAATATTGATATATATTTTTTTATTGTAGATGTAATAACATATTAATAATAGGAAAAGTCAGTAAATTAATAAAATATTTTCATAATTTACAATTAACAAAATAAAACTATTTATGATAATAGTATTTCAATAAACTATAAGAAAAATAAAAACAGTAACTCACATTATCTCATTTTCTCTAATTTGTTTTGGCTAATTTTTTTCTCTATTTAGATTTTCAAAAAATATCTTTGCAAACATCAATATTTTTTAGTCGAAATTAATTTCTTATATGTTAAATATTTTATTTCAGTTTGTTTACTATGTATATAATTGTTACTTTTAATCTTTTTAGTTTTAAATTTATCATTTTTCTTTAACAAAGAAGAAAAATAACAGATAAGAAGAAGAAGGAGGAGAATAAAGAGAAGAGATGGATGAGAAGAAGAGTAGATAAAAAAGAATAACAACAAAGAAGAACATGAGAAGAAGGAGAATAAGTGATAAAGAAGAAGAAGGAAAAGAAAGGATAGTAAGGAGAGTTAAAAATAAGAAAAATGAATGAGAAGAAGGAGAAGTGATGACGAATGAGACCAATAGAGAAAATGAAAAAAAACGGAAAAGGAGAACAGACCAGATAGGTGGACCAAACCAGATAGGTGGACCAAACCAACATAATATACCAAACCGATGAGTCCAGGTCAGCAAATATGTACCGAACCATTTAGTTATCAAACTAGAAAGATGTGTCGAAGCAGGGTGACATGACAAATCGGCTGGTAGAATCGAACCAACAAAATTAACAACTAAATGGGAATCGAGCCATTTCTCTGAAGGGTCATAGAGATGATGAGCGATGCCCAATATGAAGCAATAAACATACGAGCTGAGTCATAAGCTCAAGAAGACATCTAAAAGCGAGATTTTTCCTAGACGGATTTAGCCTTGCGTAAGGGGCTCTATAAAGACAAATAGAAGAAAATCTATGAATATGTTCACTGAGATTTCTGCTTAGGTTGTAGAGAGATGTGTATAAATAGGTTACATGTTCTATTGTAAAAAAGACTGCTGAAAAACCTGAAAAGATACTTGATCAAAAGCTAAATAAAAGATTTATTGAGAAAAAGCATAAATTAGTAGATAAATTATATTCTTATTAAAAATTAAATACGTTTTTATCATATGAGATAAATATTTCTAAATAAAAATAATAGTGTGGTTAAAAAAACTACAACTCAATATTCAAACCTGTAAAAAACCGACTACAACATAAGAACACAAGTTATATATAAAATCAATAATATATTATATCTTTAAATATAGAAGTTGGGTTTGGAAAACAACAATAAAGTAAAACATGAGCAAATTAGTTAATATGGATAACTTATTTGTTTAAAAAGAGAAAGAAAAAGAAAACAAGAAGAAGGGAAAAAACATACAAAAAGGGAAAAGAACATCGAATATGAAGAAGAAAAAGAACGAAGAAGAGGAGAAGAGCATAGAAAGAAAGAAAAAAGATGAAAGAGAAAAAAATGAAAAAAAAAAAGAAAAACATACATGAAGAAGAGGAACGATAGAGAAGAAGAAGTAGAAGAGGAACGAAAAAAAATGAAGGAGAAAAAGAATGAAATATAGGAAGGACGTAGAGAAAGAAAAAGAATGCAGAAAAAAAATGATGAAGAGAAAGAATGGTGATAAAGAGGAAGAAAAAGAAGGGGAGAAGAAGAAAAACATTGAAGAACGGAGAAGGAGAAGGAGAAGAAAAAAGAAAAAGAAGAAGAACGGAGAAAAAAAAAGAGAAGAAAAACAGATAATAGAAATGAAGAAGAAAGAATAGGAAAGGAGAAGGAGAAGAAAAAAAAAACTAAATACAATATTAAAAAACATAAAATTCATATAAAACCAATAACATATTATCATATTTTACAATAACAACTCGTGTGTCTATAATATTGAATTAGTTGCACGTAACTTATATTATCTTATTTTCAATTATATACTTTTATATTTATAAAATTTAATTTTAATCCTCAAAACACATAAATAGATAATTTATTACTAATATAACTATATTTTTTTTGGTAAGGGGGGGGAGGACGGGGGTGGGGAGACATTGTCTCCTGATTTTATTGAAAACATAAAAATCAGCTACACACAAACTCTTTTTTTGGATGCGCATAATCAATCATATCGTAACTGAAAATCGAAACTAAACTAGGTGGAACCGAATCTAAAAACTAAACACCTAAAGGAAGGGAAAAAGCAGAGTTAGCTAATCCATCAGCAAGACAATTAGCTTTTATGTTAGCAAAAAATAAAAGATAATTAGCTTTTCTATACATATATGAAAAACAGACTATTCATTCTCTCAAAATAAAGCCATAATACATATGTACCAGAAAACAGACTATCTTATAACATAATACTAGGTTACTACCTGCACATTCGTGCAGAGTAATATTTATCATAAAAATAATTGTCAAATAGTATGTTTAAGAATACTAATAAAATTAAATTTTTTTTAATTTATATTAATTTTATACCATATATTTGTATCCGCTTTTAATCATTTTGACTTTCATAACCAAATTTAAATTTTATTTTTAGTCATGGAGACTATTTTGCCATATATAATTGGTAGTCAAATATAACACAACAAAATTTAATTTTAATAGATATTATATATATTATTAAGTTTTTTGCGAACTATTTTTTTATATAATTTAGGATCTAAATGATAATTAGTATATATTATAGAAATAAATATTTTTGAAATTGTAAGAAAATAAGATTTTAATTAAGTAAATATGTTTATTGTAGTATATCTAGCAATTTTAATGTTCTATTAATATTCTTTGTCAAATCTTATAATTTCTAAATTTCATTAATTTATATTGAGATAGATATTTCTTTTTCCTAATATTAGATATCTTATGTTTGCTTATTTATAAATTCTTAGTTATTTATTTGAGAATATCCATAACACAGAAATATTATCATAAACTAAAAATATTCTTAAAGATTTATCATTAATTTGATTAGTTAAGATATTGTAAAATAGACTTTTACATTTAATAGAAAAAATTTTAGGATTCGGGTATTTTTATGAAAACTATTGATGTAATTCGTTTTTAATTTTTATTTAAATAAATAATACATTTTTAATTAATAAACTAAATAAAATTAATTCTCAAAAAAATCCAGCAAAAAATTAGAAATGTTTCTACTTTAATGTATAATAGATATAATAAATCTCTTTGAACAAAAAAAAATATAATAAATCTCTTTATACTAAATAATTTAAACATTTATAAAATTTACTTCAAAAATCATATACATGTATCCAACATCTAGTGTATATAAAATGGATCAACAAAAAGCTGTTCCCTCCTCTTTGAAACTGGAAGCTGTTTCATATTTTATCTCTCTCTCTCTCTCTCTTGATTTAAAAGCTGACAAGTGGAAAAACCTGTGAAATCAGATCTAATACAAAAAAAAAAGAGTTAGATAGAACTAAGTGATAAAAGCAGATTCCAGAGATCCAGCTTCATCTTTTACGCTTGAAAATCTTTGTTTGAGTTCCATACAGGATCCGCCTTCGCCACTCCATTGTCTGATAACAATCCGCTCCCATTCTCCACACTAATCAACGGATCCTTCTCGCTTTCATTCATCTGAAACATCAAATTGATAAACTCATTACGAACGAACTAATGAAGGTTGAATACCACTTCTGTGCCAAAAAAGAGAAGGTGCAAGTTTTTACCTGAGGCAATTGCGTTGATGTTTCGGTGGCTTTCTGCTGAGTTTCGAGTGTGCAGCAATAGGAATAAAGAACCATCCCAACTAGGGCGATCAGAATACCGAGAATGTTGCACCAGTCGAACGCGTCTTTCAGCAAAAGATACCCAAATGCCAACACTAGGCATGTTTTCAGATGTCTCAGGACCTGATATGTGACTGGAGATGTCTTTCCGATTACTAGAAACGTGCTGAAGTTTACTGAAACGGATATGAGGCAGGACAGGACGATGAAGAACTGCATTTCAAGCAAGGTACAATGTTTTGTAAATACGGTTGAAAATCGACAACAAAGGAAAAGATTATTTCACTAAAAGTTGATTGCTTCTCTCACCAGGACTTGCGAGGTGTACTTGAAAGCAAACACGTTCTGGTTGGTTAAGAGACCATCTAAAAACGGCCCGGTTACGAAGAGAGTGATTGCTTGATATGGGCAAGACTGATACAGAAGTTGGGTCGATGAAACCTTGAACTTCTTCTGGATCGTATTGGTCATCTGTATATAAATAGGTTAAGATAACAGCAATGAATTGAACAAGGACCAACATTTAGCTGAACCACTGACTTAACACAAGAGAAGATAAGTATAGGATTACAATTTGGACAACACAAGTAGTGATAACAGCCAGCAGCGACAAGACAGAACCCAGCATATTAAGCTGGAGATCTGTTACGGTTGCAACTCTGACACCAAGGAGAAGGATGACTAATGAAAACTGGATCTTTCGACTGCAAACGAAATAAAGTGGGGAGATATTGTCTCCTGATTTTATTCAAAACATAAAAATCAGCTACACACAAACTCTTTTTTTGGACGCGCATAATCAATCATATCGTAACTGAAAATCGAAACTAAACTAGGTGGAACCGAATCTAAAAACTGAACACCTAGAGGAAGGGAAAAAGCAGAGTAGCTAATCCATCAGCAAGACAATTAGCTTTTATGTTAGCAAAAAATAAAAGATAATTAGCTTTTCTATACACATATGAAAAACAGACTATCCATTCTCTCAAAATAAAGCCATAATACATATGTACCAGAAAACAGACTATCTTATAACATAATACTAGGTTACTATCCGCACATTCGTGCGGAGTAATATTTATCATAAAAATAATTGTCAAATAGTATGTTTAAGAATACTAATAAAATTAAATTAATTTTTTTAATTTATATTAATTTTATACCATATATTTGTATCTGCTTTTAATCATTTTGACTTCCATAACCAAATTTAAATTTTATTTTTAGTCATAGAGACTATTTTGCCATGTATAATTGGTAGTCAAATATAATACAACAAAATTTAATTTTAATAGATATTATATATATTATTAAGTTTTTTGCGAACTATTTTTTTATATAATTTAGGATCTAAATGTTAATTAGTATATATTATGGAAATAAATATTTTTGAAATTGTAAGAAAATAAGATTTTAATTAAGTAAATATGTTTATTGTAGTATATCTAGCGATTTTAATGTTCTATTAATATTCTTTGTCAAATTTTATAATTTCTAAATTTCATTAATTTATATTGAGATAGATATTTCTTTTTCCCAATATTAGATATCTTATGTTTGCTTATTTATAAATTCTTAGTTATTTATTTGAGAATATCCATAACACAGAAATGTTATCATAAACTAAAAATATTCTTAAAGATTTGTCATTAATTTGATTAGTTAAGATATTGTAAAATAGACTTTTATATTTAATAGAAAAAATTTTAGGATTCGGATATTTTTATGAAAACTATTGATGTAATTCGTTTTTAATTTTATTTAAATAAATAATACATTTTTAATTAATAAACTAAATAAAATTAATTCTCAAAAAAATCCAGCAAAAAAATTAGGAATGTTTCTACTTTAATGTATAATAGATATAATAAATCTCTTTGAACAAAAAAAATATAATAAATTTCTTTATACTAAATAATTTAAACATTTATAAAATTTACTTCAAAAATCATATATATGTGTCCAACATCTAGTGTATATAAAATGGATCAACAAAAAGCTGTTCCCTCCTCTTTGAAACTGGAAGCTGTTTCATATTTTATCTCTCTCTCTTGATTTAAAAGTTGACAAGTGGAAAAACCTGTGAAATCAGATCTAATACAAAAAAAAAAGAGTTAGATAGAACTAACTCTTTTACGCTTGAAAATCTTTGTTTGAGTTCCATACAGGATCCGCCTTCGCCACTCCATTGTCTGATAACAATCCGCTCCCGTTCTCCACACTAATCAGCGGATCCTTCTCGCTTTCATTCATCTGAAACATCAAATTGATAAACTCATTACGAACGAACTAATGAAGGTTGAATACCACTTTGTGCCAAAAAAGAGAAGGTGCAAGTTTTTACCTGAGGCAATTGCGTTGATGTTTCGGTGGCTTTCTGCTGAGTTTCGAATGTGCAGCAATAGGAATAAAGAACCATCCCAACCACGGCGATCAGAATACCGAGAATGTTGCGCCAGTCGAACGCGTCTTTCAGCAAAAGATACCCAAATGCCAACACTAGGCATGTTTTCAGATGTCCCAGGACCTGATACGTGACTGGAGATGTCTTTCCGATTACTAGAAACGTGCTGAAGTTTACTGAAACGGATATGAGGCAGGACAGGACGATGAAGAACTGCATTTCAAGCAAGGTACAATGTTTTGTAAATACGGTTGAAAATCGACAACAAAGGAAAAGATTATTTCACTAAAAATTGATTGCTTCTCTCACCAGGACTTGCGAGGTGTACTTGAAAGCAAACACGTTCTGGTTGGTTAAGAGACCATCTAAAAACGGCCCGGTTACGAAGAGAGTGATTGCTTGATATGGGCAAGACTGATACAGAAGTTGGGTCGATGAAACCTTGAACTTCTTCTGGATCGTATTGGTCATCTGTATATAAATAGGTTAAGATAACAGCAATGGATTGAACAAGGACCAACATTTAGCTGAACCACTGACTTAACACAAGAGAAGGTAAGTATAGGATTACAATTTGGGCAACACAAGTAGTGATAACAGCCAGCAGCGACAAGACAGAACCCAGCATATTAAGCTGGAGATCTGTTACGGTTGCAACTCCGACACCAAGGAGAAGGATGACTAATGAAAACTGGATCTTTCGACTGCAAACGAAATAAAGTGGATCATCAGGCCTTTTGGACCAGGATATCGTTTGGCGAACTAATGAAACCAATAAACATTTCTGAAGAAGAATTGATGACTGAAAGGGAAAAGGGATACGTAAGAAAGCTTCTAAGTTGCTTAACCATTCCACAGTGAACCAAAATAAACTATGGGAAGACAGACGTACTTCTTAGACGTGAGGCCGTGAGCAATTTCTAAACCAAACCCTATTGTACAAGTACTACTTAGACGATCTCAGTGCTAACCTGAATTTCTTTCTGAAGAAGATGGTCTCCAAGAGTACAGTACAGGGGATGATTGCTAGCTTTGTCATCTGATATCAACGGAATATAGAAACAACAGAGGTTAAGAAACATGGTATTCGCATTCACGGCTGAAAAAAAGGCTATATATACCTGGTAAAAACCAACAGAGTTAAAACCCAAGCTGAGATTCAATAACCCAATGGATATTCCATTTAGTATACCAAATCCCATCACAGCTCGTGGGTCAAAAGGCTTGTGCTCAAAAAACTTCATCCATAACGCCACATGAAGTGAACAGAATGTAACCAATAGATGCCAGCTTGTCAAAGTTGTCGCTGCAACACACAGATCATGAGATCGAAATGCATAAGATGTTGCACACAAACCCACAAACAGTTATATCATTCAAGGCCACTGGATATCTTGAATAATTCTAATAATGTCTACACAATCAAGAAACCACTTTCGCATTATAGATTTTGAATCATTCCTCAGTGCACAATCCTAGTTTTTTTCGCATATCAAGATGAACATTTCAAAAACGAGTTAAGCTTTACCGAATGTGAAGCCAAGGGTGCTAATAAGCGCCTTGTTACAGATGACGATAGACACAGACGACACGACGGACAAACTCAAAGCGCTGATTGTTCCGAGCGGGAACTTTTGGCCGTCGCTCATATTCGCTCTCTTGATTGTCTCTCGCTCCAATCACGATCTACGAACCAATACTTCCATAAATCCAAACGGCGAGGCTACCCAATCAAAAACAAACAAAAAAGGTATTGATACGGAGAAAAAACGAACCTCATTCGCGCATAAGTATAGGAAAATGCGAGAGAATCTAAGCAAGGGGAAGCTCGGCTGCAACAATGGAGAAGAAGGAAAATGTAAGTCGGAAAGATTTATGAAAATCCAGAAGCCATAAACCCTAGATCTATCGATGTCAGGTGAAGATAAGCAAGTAGTTTAGCGGAATTTCAGGAGAATGATAAATAAACGGGAGGGAGAAATGGAGAGAGAGACCTCAATCAAGAGGAAATAGAGAATCCAGAGAGCTCAAGGTTCGACGGAGGAGAAGAGAGATTCGGAAGAAACCTATTTTAGTAATTTTTGAAGGTCTGCACTCTGCACCATACAGAAGAAAATAGTGAGAGAGAGAGAGGAAGAACGCAAGGAAGAAGATACTTCTCGCTTTTTACGTTAATGGGCCCTACCTGCAATTAACATTAAATAATCGAGCTAAAACTGTAAATAAGGAAAAAATGCATGATTTCCTTCTTCTTTTTTTTCGTCTGAAATATTATTAAACCGAAAGGAAACATTGTGAAATACATTTGTGGGATGCGATAATTAAACATTTAAAAACATTCTAAGAATCCGCAACTAAAACAAAAACAGAATTAATAAAACTGAAGAACAGTTACAACAATAACAATAGAAATGTAGTTCTTCTTAAACTTATGAAACCCTAAGTCCGATAGTATCAAAGAAGCCTAAGATACTTCTTAAACCAATGAAACTAAACTTTCTCTTACGTCAGAAGATAACTAGATCCACGACTTCATAATCTGGTAAACAAAAGCTGCATCTTGAAAACTCTCAGAAACGATGTCAGAAACACAAGAAAACGCCTTGAAAAAAAACCCGAACGATCAGTAAATGACCCACGACTAAGAGCAAAGTCTAAAATGCATGATTTTCTTCAGATTTGTCGTTTTCTTTTCAATTGTTTATTTTAGGGAAATGTCATAAATATACAGTTTACTAGTGTACTACTCTTAAAGCACTTTAAGTCTGTACTACGTGGTTGCCCTCACATATGTGTGGTATAATTTTTTTTATATACATAGTTAATTGTAATAATTAAATATTGATTAGTTATTTTAAATATTGGTATGTTTCTATATATATATTATTTTAATATTTCACAAACTTCTTTATGAAACCAATGTATTTTAAAAACTTTATTTTTATAATGCTTGTAATAATATATAATCACAAATATAAAAGTTATGTTAAATAATAATTAAATTTTTAATATATTTTTTTAATATTTCTATAATATGATTTATTTCTCCATACACAATCTATAATATGTTTTTTGCGTCTTATATAATATGAATTTGTACATACATATATAATATATTTTAAGTATATATTTTTTTTGATTTATTGCAAATTAAAGTGAAATAATTTTACCATTTCTACTTATTTTTAAGAGCGGATAGATGGTTGGCACGCATGTGCAGACATACCAACCACTTCACTACACTTAGAAACATTTTAAAAGAAAAAATGTATAATAATTAAAATAAAAATTAGTCTGTAATCAATCTTAACAAAATTTATGCACGGAAAAGTTCGCATATGACTTCAACTAATGTACAATTAATATTTATATATGTACTCGTATTTGTAAAAAAATTGAAATATGGCTCTTAGGTGTTAAAAAGTTTTCAAGTGATTTTGTAAAACAAAGTGCGAGAGATTTATTTTCATATACTTCTATTTTTATTTCTTATTCATATTATTTCATCTTATTATAATTTATTCTTTTGTTCGGTTACTTTTCATTTTATTTATGTTCTCAAAATTTTGATATACAATAAAAATAAATTTATGTATATACATATGATATCAAATTTATTTTTTATTTAAAATATGATAAGAGATAAGATGAGATGGTAACATAAATTGGTAACATAAGTTATGTACATTTTAGAAAACAACAATAAAAATATGATAAAAGTTATAGAAAAATATATGGTCCTATTAATATTATAAAATAATAATTAGTATATACTTTATTCATTTAGTAAATATTGGTTTGAAAAGAAAAATTATTTAAAATTAAGTTTTAAAAAAAATCAATAAAGTTGATTATTTTTTATTATTTTTAACATTTTATTCTTTAAATTATTTTTATCATGATTTTATTTTATTTAAAATTGTATTATTTAATAGTTTGTTTATTTAGGACTTGTTTAGATGTTATTAATATATTTTGTAAATTAATAACTTTCCAAAATAAAAATATATCATACTTCAAGTATTATTAATAAATAGAATTTTTATTATTCTATTAGATAATTTAGTATTATTTAATCGTTTTATATAAAATTATAATATATATATATATATTGTTGGAATTTTTTTGTAAATATATTTTATAAAATTATGAATATATGTAAAAAATTGAAATTATAATAACTTTTATTTTTTGTTAATTTAAATTTGTTAATTTTAGTGTTATAAATATAATCTAGTTTATTTATGTTTTAATTCCACAATTTCTATAATTTTAATTTAACCAATTAAAATATTTTATTTATTTTATGAAGTTTGACATGTCACATTTATATATCATCAATTAAAAACACTAACTTTAGCTGTAGTGTGGACAAATAAGCTATTTTCAATAATATTACTTCTCAAATAATATAATATATAGTAGATATGATTTGATTAACTTTTTGATCAATCACTCCTAATACGATTACAAGTCTACTACTAATGCAAATCTTCGGCAACCTTCACAGCATTTTTGCATAACATCTCATAGTCTACTTAACAGAAAGCTTAGACAATAAACACTACGAAGAAGAGGGATCTTAATTTAAACCTAATACTTTCCATGTGAGGTTGAGAATCAACACACAAAAAAAAAAAAAAATTCATCTGTTTCATCACCATAAGACCAAGCTCCATTTCGCCTTTTACAAAAACCCAGATTAATGGAGACAAACTTAAACCCACCCACCCCAAACTCAACCATCAACCATAAACACTAAAAGCCATTGTTGTTCTTTTGAAGCATAAGCTTGTTTTTTTTTCCCCCTAAAACTATGACAGATTCAAACACAAAACTGTACCTCTCTCTCTCTCTCTCGCTCTCTCTCTCTCTCTTCTTCTCTTGGTGTTCTGAGAGAACATTTTAAAATTTCAACTCTTTGTCTTCTCAATATCAGCTTGAACATTTCGTCTCTTCACGAATTTTCTCAGCCTCTCCATCAAACTCTTTTACTCCTATAACATCACTGCCTTGAGCCGCGCTCGAACACTGCCCTACTTCTCTTCTTTTACTCTCCTCTTTCTCCACCCCAACAGTTTCATTGTCTTCTTTGTTGTAAGAAGGATCACTGTTGAGATCAATCCTCCCTGTGTTCACTTCCTTCTCTTCTGCCTTATCCTTATCAGACTCGGCCTGTTTCGCTTCCTTGTTCTCCTCATCCGCTGCTGCTCCTTGTCCATCGCGCTCTAACTGCTGCTTCTCCTTCCTCCTCCTCATCAGTGTCTTGAACCTTCTCTTCACGGTGCTGCACACGTTGCACCCACAGGTCGGCTTGTGCCTACCTTTCCCACTCGGCGGCTGGATGCAGACAATGCAAGAGCATCCAACTCTGTGCCTTGGATGTCTGGTCGTGGTCGCAACCTCTGGCTCGCCTGAATTGTCTCCGAACACTGCTGCACTCGCTGCGCTCGCTAGTGCATCTAAGCCCGAAGGTTCTTGCTCAGATTTTACCCCAATTCTTCTCTTCTTGTACTCTGAATAAACACACAAATACAGTCTCTTGAGACTTGAGATCTCTATAAGCTGAGTATATGCATGGCCTTTAAAACATATATATCTTGAAACTATGATACAAACCCAACACATAAATTGCTCACAGTAATATGGAAGCAGTCTCTCACACTGATGCAACAAGCTAATGAGAAGGAACCATGAGAGGGCAAAGTATAATAGATTTTCATACCTTTACCAACTTTAAGAACATTCTCAAGTTCCTTCAAACTCTCCTCCGGTGCAGAACACGAACACCTATCAATGACATCTCAAGTTACAGCAACAAGACCTCAAGAGAAAGAAAAAAACAACAATTTCTAACATGATCTTCGATCCAAGCAACCACGAGGAAAAAAAGCTTTTGAAATTTTGTACCTGCTTTCGTCCCAAACGTTGTCTGAACATGTCCACTTTGAGGAAATAAGAGCGTCTACAGGTAACCTTCTCCATTTAGAGCAGTCGTCGCAAAATGCCCATCGATCCTGTTCACTGTATAACAACGATATTCGTTAGTAAATCAAAGAAGAAGTTATGCAACTTATGTTGCCCAATCATCTCTTTGACTTGAGAAGTGAAAGACAGAACTTACCCTGAAGGTCTTGTAGTAATTATCGTCCTCTTTCCAAAGACAGGAGGTTCCTGTGTAATAACATTAACAATAACTATGACTTAGCTGAGGGCAGCTCAGTACAAAGTTTAATTATTCGTTAAAAGAAAATCAACAAAATTTACAACTTACGTCAAATTCTTCAAATTCATGCTCCTCGACGACGACAATGGTAGCCTTTGCACTAGGAGAGGGACGAAGCAAATCCTGAGCTTCTTCCCACGTGACTCTCAGCGCCACAGATTCTTCACTATGCAAAAGCAGTCTCTTGTTTTTCTCCCCAATGGTACGAGTCCTCTTCTTGTCTTTAACCCGTTGCGGGTCATCACAAATCCTGCCTCCGTTAATCTCACTCTTCTTCGAGCTATTACCACCATGAGGTGAGCTCAAATGCTCAGGCAGACCTCTCAAATCTTCCGGGTTTTGCGAGGGACACGAGGAGGCATTCATGGAGGACGGTGTCTCTGCAACACCAGACCATGATGTGTCCTCGTTCGAAGTACCGTTGGTGAGACCAGAGCCCTGTTTACAAAAGATTGCATCCAGATAAGAATCGAGCTAAGCAGAAAAAAAAAAACATGCACGTTCCTGCAAAAAAAACCAGTTCATAGAAACCCAAACCTGCATGTCTCCAGTGTTATTAGCAGACTTCCTTGAACCCATGATTAGTTTGCCACCAGGATCAACCCGGCTGAAAGTTACTGTACAAGATAATAACAAAAAAAGCCAACAATATATTCAGAATCTAAGTTGATAATAGAAAGTTCACCAAAGCATGAAGCTTTAGCTAAAACATGAGCAGTAGTACCTGTATCACCAGCCTGTAGCATCATGGACTGTATGCAAGGAGTGACACCTTCCAAGACATACATTCTACTGTTGTTATTGGGCCAGAATCTGAACTGGAACGTCCACTCCTTACCTCTCACGTCTTGGATTTTCAAAGGAATGCCTTCTGATTGGCTAATGGGAGGAAAATACGCCTATACACACACAATGCCGATTTCAATAACTCTCCCAAGACATTTCAAGAACAACACAAAGATCACAAGGATTCGGGAAAATCACCTCTGCGCAGGCTTTCGGAAGAACAAGACGACCAATGCGACCAGCATCACTGGCGCTGAGAGTTTTCTCGAAAAGAGGTACAATGTTCAAATTCAAACTAAAAGACTGTTAAGGTAAACATGGAGTCACCGGAACAATATGTTTTGAATCAAAGAAAAAGAAGCAAGAAGAAAAAAGAAAAAGGATACTTTCCAGAGATCTGTTGAACCTCTTTATCGGTATACTTGGGCCAGTACCGAGGAAGTAAATGGCCTTTCCCTCGCCCTTCGACAGGTGGCCTCCCGATCCTCGCCTGAGCAGATTTACTAGCCCCCGGAGGAGTAGGAGTTCCAAGAACAGACTTCGAAGGTTTCTGCAGTATACTAGACGCAGAGCATTGGACAATGTGGGACTGAGAAGAAGTCCCCATGAGTTTCTTTCCATCGACAGGGGTCGTTGCGAAAGACGGGCTATAAGGAAGCACAGCCAAAGCCATGTTCAAAGATGGCTGCGACGGCGACGGTTCGCGCATTTCCGCACCGTCCAGCCTATAACCGGTGGTGTTGTTTTCCGGTTTCATAAGCGTACCGAACCCAAGGTGAGGCATGAACTCTTCTCTTTTATCTCCTCCCGGGACTAATGGCTGAGACTGAGAAAAGAGATCAGCTCCTCCGTCGATACTCACTCCGCTTTCGCCGTTTATATGTTGCCTCTCTGCTAACGTTTTCATCGGCAACCTGCTAAATACACCTGGATTCTCACCTCTCTTGTTCTGCAAAAAAGAAGAGAAATCATTAGAAAACAAACAATTCAAACAAGAGGCGAACCGAACCGAACCAGAAACCGAGACGAAACTAACCAAATTGAGTTGATGGCAGGTAGCACAGGAAGTACAACCAACACCACCATAGTCCATAAGCTCGACCATGAGCTTTGAAGCAATGCAACCACAATGAAGTCGCTGTCATCGCAGCAAAGAGTTTCAATTCAGACCAAAAACCAAACATTTACAGAGAAGAAACTTAAAGTGTTTTTAAAAAAAAAAACGCAACCTTGCTGCACAAATAGCATTCCCTCCAACCAGATTGGTCCATATGGAATGTTTCGCAGAAAAGCGAACTCTCATAAGCAGATCTATTAAGAAAAAAATCATTACGAATCAATACATCAATCTCTATAATTTATACCAAAATCACTTATTTCTGAAGCTTTATATAGACCAGAGGATTCAGGATTTGTTAACGAATGAGAATTCAGACGTAGACGAAAACAAGAACACACACAAACACCATAATGAGCGAGAACTCAAGAAAATCGAGAAATCGAAATTTGTGGGTATTTGATTTGCGAAATAAGAGGGGAATTGAGAGAGATACCCGCAACGATAGCAGAGATCAGCGAGTGAACCGGATCGAAGAGGCCAGCCTTTCTTCCATTCGACAGTGGAGGTCGAGCCACAAGATGCGTTCATGCACATCTTTGACCCCATTTTGACTTCAAACATGACCGAGAGAAATCAGAAGCTTTTCGACGACTCACCAGATTCTCCAAATCCCCACCCCCCCAAATCGAAAATCCTTAAAACCCTAACAACGCCGGAAGAGGGAGGAGCACGAATCGGAGGTGAAATCGACGTGAATTGGAGAAGAGACTAGTCATGAACATGCATCGACGTGGTCAAAGCAAGTCGCGTTTAGAGATCAGGGGGGATGTTGAGAACCACGGCGGTAAGAAGAAGGAGAAGAGAGAAATTTGACGGCGAATTGAAGAAAGAGGGACTGTAACGGCGGAAGAAGGAGGCAACGAGGTTTTTGTTTTGGTGATTTTTAGTGTTTTTTTAATTTTTCGATGTAAAATTAAAATTATGGGTCAGATAGAGAGAGAGAGAGAGAGAGAGAGAGAGAAGGATAGAGAGAGAGCATGCAAGAGAAAGAGGATAGATAGAGAGAAAGAAACGCATAAAATGCATGCACGACACTTGAGAGCACACAAACACACACGCCGCTTAAACCAAAGTAACAGAGATTAGAACAGAAAGAAACTCAAAGACTTTGGTTTTTTTTTTTCTCTTCTTCTTCTCTTTTGACTTTTTATTTATTTGTTTTGGGTTAAAAAGATTTTTATTTATATTTACATGGATTAGGGTTGGTAGGACTCTATTGTTCTTTTGGAAAATAAGATATATGTGTTTCCGTTCTACTCGAATTATATTAATTGGTTACGAAAAATTATTAATTGGTTTATTTGTTTTACTTTTTTTTTTGGCAAAAACATAAATGTAGAATGCATGCATGACATACATCACACACAGACAGAAGACTTTGAGCTTCTTCTTTTCCCTTTTGACCTTTTCTGTATTGTCGAGTACCCTAAAAATTCAAAGATTCATTTGGCGAACAATTATGTATCCTCTTGATATTTTAATTTACTCGGATATTTTGAGTGCATGCAACAATATTTGGATAATTTTTCTTCTTTTTGAACCTTAAATTTGGATAAAATTGCAACCAATTTTTTTTATATATATACTTACTAACTCCCGAACCCGATTTAACCATTCCAAAGAAAAATATGTGAGATATGTTGATTCATCGTTCAATTTTGTTCAAATACCATGAAATTTATAGTAAAGCGTTCACTCGTAAATAAAAAGATCAATTACAAATCTGACTAAACTCACACCATTTTTTTGAAATTACGCTCTTTTTGTTGAAATTAGTTGCTTCTGCTATCCACGAGCTACATATTACGCTTTTTTTTACCCCCTTTTACCTCGTAGCACCTATAGAGTACTCTTGAACGAGTAACTTCTGAATTTAATTCGAGTGAGTTCCATATATATATTTTATTTCCTATTTCTCATTGAATATATATGGAATTTTCACTTTCGATAAACTGTATATGGATTTTTCGTGGTTTTACATGCAGAAGAAGAGAGAATCAATCCAGGGCCACTTTCCCCTTATCATTCTTAATAAATTGCTCTCATCCACAATTAATTCATGAAACTGACATGGATAGACTCGGAACCACTAGATTAGATTGACATCATACAATTTACCACTAGATTTTGATTTCTGAAAAGAAATTAAGATATAATAATTAATACGCTTATGAGCTCTTCTTTTTTTTCTTTCATTTCGTGTGATGCCATAATATTTCACAATTGACAATAACCGATACCTAGAATATAATTATCTTAAACTACGAATATTAACACAAGTTATTGAAATTACTAAATATATTCATAAAATTTTTTTTTTAACATATCTAGACCTATTAATCAAATCCAATGATTAGTTGGAATTACAGATATGACATGATGATCAAAGTACTAAATTCTCTAAGTTTAATATGATTAGGCGAACTTTTTATGTTTTAGCCATGTGAAACTTCTTCATAAGATAGTTGTCATGTTGGCTAACGTAGCAAGAATCAATCTCGTACCAGTCATGTTTGCACATGAGAAACAAGCAGCCGCCATATACTTTGATTCACCCTAATTTTATTTCTTTTTCTGTTATAATATGTATACTGAACTGGACTACTGAGAAAGTTATCAACGTAATTGCAATATTTTGTTATTTAAGTACGAATAAACACTCAAAGACTTTTTAGGACGGCATGTAGAATAATCTGATAGAAACTGCAATAATGCCCTGATACACAACACAGCTGTAATTGGGGCTCACGTTCCCAGCTTGCAAATATACAACTTTTTTTTCTTATTATAATTATAGTACTAATATTAAGGAATCTCATTTATCCCCCATATAATTAAAGTATGAAATATTTTTAAAGAAAAAGTAGGCATTCTTATCTGTTTAGCTCTAAGATCCAGTGTGAGAATTAAAATATACTCATAATATAGGGCTCTTCTGAGTGTATGAAAAAAAGGCAAATTTTGAAGAAATTGGAACCTTGTAAAAGTACAAAAGTAACATCATGTCTAAATTTGGTCAAAACGTGTTTTATGTGATTGTATTTGCGCTTATGCACAGACCCACAAAAGCGTCTCAAAATAGTAAAGACTCTAAAGACAACGTGGGTAAATGACTAATGAAGGACTCATGACAGTTGACAAACACGGTTGCATGAAAAATTAGGTGCAAACGCTAAACGCTAATATGGAGAACAAGATACGGTTGATTTTTTAAATCTGTGTAACCTATAGTACATGCTCAACGAAAAATTACCAAAAAAAATTGCACATTCCCTTAATCCCTTGGGCCTTATGCCCAAGAAACATATGAATTTTTGGATTTCAGATTTGGTGATAACTTGAACTAAAGATACAAGAAAGGATATGAAATTCTCTTACCTATGTTTTTAAAGTGCCAAGGAGCAATGTCTTGTTTAAACAAACGAGTTGAAGCGTGCGCCTTTCCAGCATTATCAATTGTTGGAACGAGTCTCTACTTGTCTTTTCTCCTGTTTCTATCTCAAGATTCATGCGTTAGCTTATTGTAATAACACTAACAATATAAACAAACAAAAAATCTTTGTTATCCAAGGAAAAAAATAATATAATTTACCTCTGTTTCCTTGTTGCCGAGCTTCCATGACTTCCTTCTTCGGGTTACGTCTAACAACAATTTAAAACTCTCCGTGTGTCAGGGGCATTGGATTTAATTATAGTGAAGAACGCAGAGAGTTGTGTATGTAATCACCGTACATACTCATTTTCGTCTGAGAGGCTCTTTGCAACGGATGATGAGGTCTCATCTCCCTGACTTTTAGGGCGATTTACTTCTTTGCTTTGCTCATTATCGTTCTCTGATAACGTGTCACTCTCAAAGCTGCAGATATCTCCTGCTAGTTTAGATTTATGGTTTGCTGATGAACAGTTCACATAGTCGTGTTCATCATCATCCTCTCCAGTGCCTCCTACTGAAAACTTGGGAAAATCAGGGGCTCGAGATTGACGCCAGTGCGATCTACCGACCTCGGGGTTTAGGATAGGATATGGTTTGTCTCTCTCGGTTGTAATATCTGTGATAGAAATGTGAGAGTTCACCAAGATAATGATTAGTTTTCGGACTGAAACCAGATCCAGAGGGATGTTCTATGGCCAAGGCAGTAAAGATGTTCCAGAAAATATGAGAGGCAAACCTGAGCTAATGCCTGCAGCTGTAAATCCTTCTGCAAACCAATTGTAAGGCGCATCGAGACCACCACCACCACGGAAAGAGGACTCTCTCTGACTGGTGGATTTCAAATTTCCTGGCTTTGATAGTCTGACTTGCTTTCCAGACCCAACTTTTGTATTCAAATGTTGATCATCCACATCCCAATCTTCCCATGATTCTTGGAAGAGGTTATTCTTCAGATAGTTCTTGTCTTTTCCAAACGAATTAATTTCCCTCTTCCTCTGTTTTTTCTTGGTTTTAAACTGTGGAATGGGCGTTTCATTGGCCCAAACTGACAAGATTCAGGGACAGTGACGGTTTAGTAACAAACGTTTCCAAAAATTCTAACATGTTATTCACAAGTCTTATATTCAGAAAAATGAATACCTGCACTAGACGAGCAAGATTCTTCGCTGTTAAAAATAGTGAGTGGTGTCAGGACATATACAGCATATGAATCACAATCAGAAAGAGATATCTTGCAGATGTTTACCTACGCAAACTATGGCTGTCTTTATCTTCCTCCGGTACAATGGATGACCAAACCGGTTGGTCAAATACATTGTCAAAATCAAAGTTATCCGGGGATTTGAAATAGCTGGATGTTGTTATTTTTTTGAAAAATTCAGTCAGCATGAGTTAAAAATGACTTTATGAATTTCAATGATTTAACTTACGCTGCCTTAGCAATTGTTGGATGATCGATGGTCCTTTCTAAACGCAGTGGTCTTCGAACTGGTGAATCTGAAATAAGGAAGAACGAAGGTTATACCAAATAAATAGGCCAAAACTCAGTGAATCCAACAAATATGTAGATACGTATTTTTTCCAACTTCAGACTCCAACAACAGAGCAAGCTAAGCGATAATGAAAAGAAATTGAAATTAATAAAGATATGGGATTGATAACTTTCAAAGAATGATTTGGCATCATGAAACTTAAAAGACACACGCTTAGACTAGTTATTTTAATGCTACTTATAGTCCAGGTAGGTTGGTGAGCCTAGTGATAAGAGAGTATCTGGGTCAAATGAAAGTTCCTTGATAAAAGCATATATGCATGCAGCTAATTGTTCCTAATTTAGTTGAACTACACACCTTCGATGTTAGACCTCCAGGTCGTTTCCAGGTAATCCCTGGAGACACAGAACTGAAAAATGTCAAAAGGTTCAGAATCACTATCCATAAAGGGACAAAATGAGAGATTTCGAAGAGCACCTCTTGTTTGTCCCATGGTGTTCTTCAGAAGAGCGACTGTCAGTATAATCGTTTCCATAATTCATGAAATTAAGGTTTACATTTTCCTGGCATGGCTGTTGATCCTTCCAGTGAAAACTGCCTTCCCGGTCATCAAGAAAGGTGGGCTTAGCTGGTGAGGTAAGAAGAAGAAACCGAATTCATACATTTTTTTATTTGATATCAAGAGGAAAAGAGGAAAGAAAGAAACAGATGCACATATGATCATAGACCAGAAAAGATTTTCCCATAGTAAAGAAAGAAAGTGACATGCTACTTTGGTCAGGTCATGTTTTGTGTATGTTGCAGAAGGTGGAGGGTCATGACCAAGTAAAACAAAATAAGTTAGGCAATAAGAGTTGCATATACGGTGAGTATGAGAGAAAAACATATAAAACTGAAACCCTTTGCTTAAGAAACTACCGTTCCACTCGTTTTCATCGAAGACCCTGCTTTTGTTGAAATCTGAAACGTCACAGAAGTAGCTTCTTGAGTCGTTGACATATGGTTTGTGCAAGTGATCACTGAAAGTGCGCAGTTTTTGCTTTCTGCCCCCATCGTTACCATGTATGCCAACTGGAGACCTGTAAGGGCTGTCATCTTGGAACATGTTGCTACTTTCAATTAGTGTGTCCTGTAAGAGGACGATAAAAATGTTGGGTCTGGAAAACACTTAGAAATGAAAGGAAGGCAGCCAAAAGATAAGATGACGAGACTTTGTTACCACTTCCTTCTCAAACTCGTTGAGCCTTTGCCTGACGTTTGATGTATCTGGTTGACCAGCGTCCTTCCATGGAGAGGAGCATCGGTACGCAAAGTTTCTTTCACACCACATAAAAAAAAAAAAATACAATCACTGATTTATATTATAAATGGTACATACTACTGCTAAGTGCTAATGTGAGAGGAAACAAGATATATACGAGGGGATATAAACATAACGAAAATAAGTGCCGATATTAATAAATTCGTGAATGCTACTCACTCACCTGTCTGATGGTTGTGGAGAATTAACCGGAGTTTCCGTGTTTATTTTACCTAATCCTGAATGGAGAAAGTAAGGGTCACAAGAGAAAGGCACAGTAGGAGATCTTGTCTAAAAGGGAGATCAAGATCTAGGTACACATGGAACGTTAAAAATTTCCCACCACTCTCTGATCTCTAAGAACTATACCTTCAACTGAAAATGCCATGTGAGCCTCAGATGGAGAACATTCTTCCAGGTTGGTTGTTGTATGATCATCACCAACCAAATCAAAGACAGATAACTCTGAAAAAATATACAATGTCCACATTAACTACAGCAGCAGACTTGCAGACGGCTTATATTCGGATAACCATACAGTGAAAGATGACAGGTTAGTAGAAACAGGGCAATCTAGATGCTAACTCTACGTACAAATATGAACAAACAGAATAGAGTAAACATTTCTAGTTTCTAGATATTAACTCAATGATAAGTTATAGGGATTACTTACTCCGCTCTGTGCCATCCATCAGATCCGCTGTGGTGTCTGCTTTCTTTAATTCATTTTTCTGGTTGTCAGGAACACTAAACGAAGTCCTATAAGACAGCGAAGCATCGAAATTTCTATAAGATATGAAGTTTCATTAGAATAAAAATCAAAAGGATATACATGCTGAGAAAGAGAACTTAGGCAAGAAAAGCTGACTTGCCTCTTTGAGAAAGTAGGTTCTGCTTTATGGTTTAATGAACTTCCTGCATCATTATCACACATGCAAAATGACCAGAACAGGACCAGATTCACAGATCATGAGTTTGGAGACCTTACCTACTCCTGCAATGTTGTCCTTAATGCTGTAGAAATCAGAATCCAGATCTTCCATTCCTTTTTTTCGTCACCAAGAGACACAATCAGGAAGAAAACAAGATGGAATTATATGTCATGGTTTGGAGCGATTATTCCAATAAAGGGTCCATAAACTGACTCCAATTATGAGGGAAGCTAATAAGCAACACTGAGAGACTTAACAAGAACATACTTACCATCTTCTGGACAAGAAGGTTTGCATTCAGGAGTCGCAGTAGTTGACAAGTTCAAGAAATTGAGAATGTCCAGAGATTGGTGTTCTCTTAAGTGTTGGTTACTGTTGTTTCTATCATTAGTACAGCTCTCAGGCCCAACTGAGAGCTGATGCTGTTGCTGTCTCCTCTGCTCAAAGTATTGTTTTTGCCTTTCAACAAAGATGAAATTAAAAGTGTGAGCACTAAAAATGTCAACAAAATCATCATCAGTGGGAAGCATATGGTGACAAAGATCTTATAAACAGAAGAATAAGAGCTTACACACCTCTTCTTCACTGACGTGTGTGACTAAATTCCCCCCAAAGATGCAAGAGAACAATAGCAAAGTCAGTATTAAAACACATTATCATCTAAAATGGAGTTGAATCAAACACTCAGGAGTTGAGTTTATAAAAAAATTAAGACATCTTCCTAACACCCAGAGTCTTTATCATCGCCTAATTTCTAATGGATCTCTGAATCACTCAATGAAATCAAAAGAAGAAGCAAAAGTCACTCACAGCGGCCACTTTCCGCCTCGATCCTCCCATCCATTGCAGCATTCTTAGCAATTCCCGGTTCTTAACTGTACGACTGCACAGAGATCTCGAAATTAGAATCTCAAAATCGCCACGAACAGCTCGACGCAACGACGCCATAACTAGATTGCGTTTCCTCGACACTAGACTCTTAACACAGAAAACTTTGATTCTCAATCCAAAATTAGCGATTATATCCCGACGAATCTAGGTAAAATTTCTACGAAATTACCAGGAATATACAAATTCGAGGGAGAAGAAAGAAAGTTTACTTAGAAACTTCGCGAGGCTTCAAACAGTAGCTGAATCGCGTCCCGAAAACGGAGTTCGAAGCATAGAAACGATTAGGAAACTGATAATTGCTTCTACACAACAACGATGAAGCCAATGACGAATGATCAACTTTCGCAGAGAGACAAATCGAAGACGATGCAGCGAGCGAGAACGGTCTTCTCAAATTTTCGAAAATCTTCTTATGAGCGATTTGGTGTTTCGTTTCCCGCTGCGAGTCGGGAACAATTAGTCGGTACGAAACCAATGGGCCGTACAAAGCCCATCAAAGACGGGAAAAAACAAAAGAATCCCAGACGGAACGTTTAGGTTTAAAATTAATGGTCCCCCCCGGAAGCTGCAACTATTAGCACCGGCACCGTCGAGTCACTACTACTGAGTCAATCTCATTCTTCTCCGATTGAAAGCTTATGCTGCTGTTTGGCAGTAGGAGTAGACTTATCCTTACTCTACTTGCATTGAAATCATGGCCCATATGGCCCAATTTCTGAAACACACTCATCAAATATAGATTTTACAAAAATATCTGACTGAATTTTACAAAAATATCTGACTGAATTTTACAAATATGAGACATTATTTCAATATTAAAAACAAATAAATAAATTATGCAAACACTTTCTTTTTTTTGAGCAAAACACTTTCTTTTGTTGGTCAAGAATAATTACGATAATAGTACTTAACTATATAATTTGGTATTTCTGTCATTACCTTCAGATTTCAGTTATATATAATTTAGACCTTAATGAAATTAAAATTAAAAAAAAATCCGTTGAAAATAAAAATTAATGAAATTAAAATAATAAAAAAATCCGTTGAAAATAATAGGTAGATCAAGATTCAAGACGCTTGCATATATATATATCCGCTTGCTTCAGTCTCTCTCTACCTATTTCATTCACGTTCTCTCTCTTCTATACCCTCTCTCTCCCACTTCTGTAAAAGAAACCCTAAGCTTGTGTTTGGTTGCAGTATGACGAAGCGGAAGATACCAATTGAGAAAAGAGAGAAGAAACAACAACGATCGTTGGCTTGTACTAGATGCCGTAAAACCGTCTTCTCAAAAGCCGCGAGTCTCTGTCTTCACTCCGATGACATCACCGCCGTCTTTGTAACTTCCCCCGCCGAGAGTAACGACTATTGACTTAAGCTTGAAGATAACTTAAGTTAAGTTAGAGATTATCTTAATCAAAACATATTTAGGAGTTATCTAAATATGAGTGTTTCTAGATAGGATTAGGATTTGTCTATTGGCTATATAAGCTATGTCGAGTTGTGACATTAGCTAGGAGTTTGAGATTGAGAGTTTAAGTTTTGAGTTATTTTCTTAAACTAATAAAGAGAGTCATTCTTTATCAATCTTTGAGTTCATATTTCTGATTTCAATTCAACAACGACGTTGTCTACTCCTTCTCCAGCTACTTTCCTGCCTCTGAGATCGCCGATTGTTACCTCAACAGCAAGCCTCCTCCCACGATTAGTTACCCCCGACCCAAGCTAGGGTTTTTTTGGGAAAACCCCGATCTCTGCCGTAACTGTGACGGTGTCTCCGACTTGAACATCGTGGAGGATCGCCTTGAGAGAATGCATGAGAATGTTATGGCTAGTCTTGAGAAGGAAGAAAAACTGAAACTTGGTTCAGATTTCGATCAAAACCCTAATTTCTCGTCTCGGTCTAATTCATCGGACATTGCTTCTTCTGATCAGAATTCGTCGCACTCCTCTCACCACCAGATCGTTTGTCCACAAATTGCTACTTTCGATCAAAGCCCTAGCTTTTCCGATGAAGAGATCCAAGGCGGGTCATCCAATTCTTCAGATCAATCTTGTTTCTTGGAGAACAACACAATGACTCTAACCCAAGAAACAACACAAACAGAGCCGGTGATGGTTAATGTCGGTGATTGTGGTCATGAACAGAGCTTTTGGGATGATCTTTACAACGAAGATGTGTTTGGTTTCAATAAAGGCTTCCCTCTCGGCCAAAACAAAGCTCAGGAGAACACCACCAATGAAGAAGACGATTACATGGTCGAGATTAGAAAGTTTTTGAACGAAGAAGAGATTGATTTTAGTCAGTTCACAGCTTGAATAGTTCATGATGTGGTTAATTTAGGGTTTTAATCTTTAAACTCCAACTTTGTTCTAGTCCTTAGGTATTATAACCATCTAATATTTTGATATATGTAACGATCCAGAACCATGTTGTTAACTGATTCATATTGGAATTATATAAAACTTTTTTTTTTGATCATCTTGTCTCGTTGATTCTCATGTTACAGTCTTTAAACAGAACATCAGTGATCAGTCTTATGATCATCTTGCAGACTTTATAGAAATCAGCATCCACTCCACTTTCAGTGTCATCGTTTGGAGTGATAACGCAAATAAATGTCTCTCCATAACCATAAGCTGACTACAATGATGAGGGAAACTATAACCCACACTCAATACTTCACACTCAGAACACAACAGAAGTAAGACAGAAACTTATCTTGAAACACTGATATACCTTAATTAGTACATCAGGTTGGTGTTCTTTTGGGTGTTTATTACTATTAGTACAGTTCTCACTCTCTCAGGTCCAACTGTGAGCTGAATCAGCTGGTGATGCTGTTGTCAAAGTAATGCTTTTGCCTTCAGGTCCAACAAAGACCAAGAAAACGAATGGGCCTAATGAAGCCCATTATCCATTCATAATAATACTTTGACTGTGATTGACTTTGAGCAATTTAAGAAACTATAAGAAGCTGCTATTAGATAAACTGATCGTCATCGAATGAGGTTAAGTATGGTTGAAAAGGATTTTATGAACGTTAGTTAGAAGTCAAAAATTTCCAAGTAATAACTATGGTTCAACAACAATCATGAGGATTTGAAATGATATTAGCACCAATGTCCATTCAAAACAATGGGCACCACTAAGTTATTGCAATCGTGGAACGAACCACTTTAAAACGACATTTTAGTACACAAACACCTTACAAAAAAAGACAAAACATGGGAATATTCAACGGATCTCACAAACATCATTACAATGCCATATATATATATAACAAAAGTCATTTTTTTGCAGAAATTACTTTTTGTTTGTTTTTGTAGAAAATCTTAAAAGACTCTTGGTTTCATAACGATTGTTGAGTGGTTAAGGATGTGCAAGCTGAATTGTCCACCTTTCTCAGAGGTATCCACTTTAGACTGTCCTGGAGGAGGAAGAAGCTCGAAGTTCTGTACCAGCCTACCAATGGTGATTCCCAAAATGGGCAACGCCAATATAATCCCTGGACAGCTTCTACGTCCAACACCAAACGGCACATACCTGAAGTCATTACCGTTCGCTTCAACGTGAGCTTCTTCTTCGAAGAACCTCTCGGGTCTAAACTCTTCAGGCTTCTTCCAGCTGCTAGGGTTGTTTGCTAGCCACCAGGCATTGACCAGGATTTTGCTTTCCGCTGGAATGTCGTAGCCGGCGAGCTTAGCGTCGTTGAGGTTCATGTGAGGCACGAGGAGAGGAATAGCCATTCTTAGACGAAGCGTCTCCTTGATCACGGCTTGAAGGTACGGAAGCTTGTGAAGCTCAGGCTCTGTGACTTGCACGCCTGGTCCAAGAACCGTGTCGATTTCGTCCCTTAGCTTCTTCTGGATTTCAGGATGGTTCACTAGTTCAGCAATTCCCCACTCGATAGACCACAGTGTTGTCTCAATCGCTGTTTCAGCACAAACGACAGAAGAAATCAGCATCACAAATTACAATTCAGCCTTTTTCAGGTGTAGACAAAGTGACTTATCCCATTTCTGACCAGGAAAAGTGTTTTTTTTTGCTGTTTTAGTTAACATTCCGAATATATGGGATTCACTCAAAAGAGTAGTGGCCAATTTCGAATGCAAGCAAGAGACGTCTAGAGGATTGATTACGTATCCTACAAGGAAGAAATGGCTCAAAAGATAGAGAAGTTACCAGCGACGTTGATGTTCTCGACGATGTAAAGAACGTTGTCCTCATTGATTTCTCCTTTCTGCTCAGCTTCAAGGATATGATCAATGGCGCATTTCAACCCTTCGCTACCTGTAGGCTTAGAGCTCGCGATTTGTCTGTTGGATATTTCTCAATGTCAATCACAAAATCCCTCAATCCAAAACCATCAAAGATAACACAAAACGAAAGATGGCGAAACTCACTTCCTCTCGTCAACAAAGTACTTCTTGAATAAAGCGATTCTTCGGTCTTTCACATCCTGGCAGATCTTCAAGTAGCCTCTAAGGAACGGCCTGAGGATAGGGATGAAATCGCCATAGTTGTACTCGAAGCTCTGAGCCAATCGGCTTCTCTCTCCGTTCAAGGCCTTGAGCCTGAGGAACAGAGGATCGTCCTCGCTATCGAACCTCCTATCGAACATGATGCGGAACATATTGTTGTACATCATCAGCTGCAAACGCTTCCTCAACACGATCCCTTTCGTGGCGGAATCAGGATTCTTCTTCACGTCCTCCACGACGGCCGCCGCCTCGAACTCCCACCCTTCCCGATTCTGCTGCACAACCTTGTTGGTGAAGAACGGAACCGTCATGATCCGCCGCATCTTCCTCCAGTGCTCGCCGTACACCGTGAACACCATATCCTGTCCTTTCCCGGTGAAAATGTCGAAGACGACGTTCCTCGTTCGAGATCCGAACTCTACGCCCTGCGTGTGGAGCACTTCCTTGGTCAGATTCGGCGAGGAGACGACCACTAGGTTTCGCTGACCCATCCGGAGGAGGAAGAGGTCTCCGAATTTCTTGGCGTAATCGACGAGGTTACGGTGGTTGAGATCATCTCCGACCTGGAGCCAGTTTCCGAACACCGGAATCGGCATAGGACCTGGAGGTAGCTTCAATTTTTTGCCGCGGAGCTTAGAAATCACGGTGGCGAGAACCACCGCCGCGAAGACGGCGATTAGAGACTTCTCCAACAGAAGGAGGTCCATTATACACTTCAACTCTCGATTTTTCGATTTTTTGTTAATATTATATCAACAGTGATTGGTTTTTCCGGCGAATGAATGAAAAGCAGGAGAAGCTGCTGAGGAAGAAAGGGAGGTGAGAGAGACGATTTTATAAGAGGGAAGAGAGGTTGGTTGGTTTGAGATTTGAGACCAACGGCAAAAAGAGAACGGCGTTAGGTGCGAGGGAGTTGGTGAACGCTGGTAATGCTAAACGGCGTTAGATTTAACGGGGTGGCTTCGTGTGTGGGTGAGTGGGCTGGTGTATGTTGGGGGTAGGTGAGGACCGGAAAGTGATAAGGGTTTGGTGAAAGTATGGAGTTTTCATATCTATAAACTTAAAATTCGCTTTGTCCTTCTATATGAATCTAATTCAGAAACGACTAATTTAGTCATTTTAACAAAAGTTTGATTAAAAATTAATATTCAAATAACTTTGGTGGCATATATTGAAAGATTAAAGTAGAGAGTTCTCACAATTAATTATTCTATTTATCTGAATCAGTGTTGAATCAATTCTTTGGTATTCTTAGCATGCATACTAAGAATGTGTCTATATATATGCCTTTGCGTTAAAAGGAATTATATTTGTAATTATAAATTATTGTTATTCTTTTCCTAACTTTTGTAAGATTTAGGTAGAAGTTATCAGAGTAACAGTATTTTAGCAAGTTATATACTTGTAGCAATATGCATGGTTAGTAGTGATATGATAGTTCTCCAAATACTTGTTTTTTATTTGCAAAAATCGCTGGAATAGTAATTGTATCATAAAATATGATAATAATTCATTTAATTTATTGTGCGTCTTCTTAAAAACTTGTATGAACTTTTAGTGTGATTGAAAATATATGATTACATAATGTCTCACATATTTTTGAAAGACATTTCAAGTTTAAGTACTAAAAACATAGCTAAAGTTGTGTCGGATTTATCTGGATCCGCAACCACATCTATGATATCTTCCGTGGTGTGGTAAGAAAAGAAAATAGATCCAAACTCATAAAGGTGTGTCGGATTTATCTGGTCCATTTCGTATAATGTAATCTTTGTTGTGTTCCCATCTATTCAACAACATATCACTATTGTGTTCTTCTCGCTACTCGATCTCTTACCTAACTTGGGTTTTCTTTACATCTAAAAATCCATAATTTCTATTCCATTTACCTAATCTGCACACTTATGCATTATCTTGGTCATTTGTCAGCTGTTCAGTTAAAAACCCATTGGACTAAATTTGTCACCTGTGATTGGGGCTAACTGAATCGTGTATCGATGATTATGTCTTAGTTTTTTTTTTTTATAACTCAGAGTACATCACAGATCTATGGAAAGGTCCAGACTAATCCTCTGGGGGAGGTGCAGTTCATAGATAGACCTTTTCTCCGGATATTCAAATGGATCGAAAGCATGGACTCATATCCATATGGCCAAATGTGATTAATCTAGCAATTTCGCATTTGAGGGGAATCGATCCCTGACCTTGACCAACATGGCAACTCCTCCTCAAGTCGAAACCACTAGACCACCACCACTTGGTTATTTATGTTTTAGTTTAGACCAGTCATTTTACGTTATAAAGCATATTTTGAGCATAAAACAGCAATTCCAAACTTTTCGGGAAAAAAATCTTAATTCAAAACAGGTGAGCTAACGTGAACTTTCTATGACATGCATGTAGGTGTATCCCATTATTTTGTGTTTTTTTTTTTCCTATTCAGTACTTAAGTGAACGTAAAGACAGTTTTAGTTACAAAAATAGAGTTGTACTTTAGCAAAAAAAATGACAGTTTTAGTTACATCTGCCCAGATGTTTTGGATTTTATGTCGACTTTCAATTATTTTATATTTCTAGTGATATTAAAGTATTGCGTTTGTGATTTGTGAATGGAGACGCGATGCATTTATGTTTGTGTCTCTGCTTTGACAAATTCGTGTGTTTCGGTTTTATTGAGTTGACATATAACAATAAATCAATATGGCAAATGTGATTTACCATATATAATATACTAGTATATATTTTAAAACCGAAAAAGTATAAAAATTCATGTTAAAAGCCAAAAAAATGTATAAAAATTCATAAAAATTCACTAATTTTTTTACAATCATATTTTAAACAAGAGAGTAACACAATTTGGACGGTTCGGTAACTTCGGTTGGACCATTGGGGGTCAACGCAAATCTACGAAAAAACATGTTAAAAGCCAAAAAAAAAAAAAGTCGTATGACGACACAGGATAAGAAGGAAACTGAATCCGTCACGGCGAGAAAAAAAGAGAGAAAAGGTGTGAAACAGTGATTAACCAACCGTAGGTCTGAATCTGAACGTCTTGAGACGCCGTTAAGAAAATAGATATCATTCTTTTATTATTGTTTTATTTTCTCAAAATAAGTAGTGGTGTTTAAAATAAACGCGAAGCCACAGTAGAGGCTTTGCATTTGGCGCATACGGATCCATGAAAGGTCTTTCTTTCAATGTCCATGAGTCAATTTGGCAACAACCAACTCTATTGACTTACAGAAATTAAATATATAGTTTTATCTCATTCACTCGTCACGTAATTTAATTTTTAATTTACCAATGGCGGATTTAGGATAGGGAAAATAAATTATAGAAAGAGCATAAAAAAATAGTACTAATAATAATAGAAAGGGATGCACCTACCACGAAAGACAGCGACATGGAGAAATGGTGTTACCTACCTCCCACCAAATCCACCATTGCCCAAATTTGTCACCATATTGTTTTTACTTCTCTTTGTTGAGTTGACCATATTATTCCACATCAGCCTCTCGTTTGCAACCATGATCTAGCATGGGCCTTCTTACTCGGGTCCATTAATAAATTGTACCCTGGGCCCATTGGATGTAGTTGATATGTGTCCATATTAAATTGGATAGGTAAGATAAATGTTAAAATTTATGGAAGAATTTTAACGATAAATAATATAAAAACATGTGTATATTAGAGTAGATATATCATTGCTTTATAAGTAATAAAAGAAACAAAAGTTAGAGTAGAAGCCTGAGAAACAAAAAAATGCAGTAGGATAACAAAGAAAAAATAAGATGATGGTCCCAAATAAATAAGTAGAAGAAAAAGGAAAATGATTAATTGTTCAATCACATTCACACACAACAGTCATCATATAATATATAAAAGTTGATGACATACTGCATTGAGGACGTCCACATGAGATTAAAAAACTCAATTTGATTGGTCCATATCAACACATTCATTAAATAAAAAAATGTTAAGTATGATTAGAACATAAAAAGTTGATTTAATTGGTCCATATCAGCTTTTAAATCAAACCAAAATTATTAAGTATAATTAAAACATTAAAAGTTAATTTAACAAATTATGTCCAACAAAAAAGTAAATTCAATATGATTGATTCAAATCAACATATTTATAAAATCATAAAATATTAATATGGTTTAAAATTTAAAAGTTAAATAAAAAATTAACAATTAACAATATATGTATAAAAAAAAGTAACCATTATCAATTATCAATTTTGAAAAAATCCACAACAACTCGATTTAACAATTAAAATAATAAAAATTGAATAAAATATAAAATAAAACTTTTGGAAAACATGATGGAGAAGGAAAAAAATAGTTTTGCATGATCATTAGAGCTTCCTAACAAAATTAAATGCGAATCAACATGAATCATGGATTATATATGTAGTGGTACACAACATCAATAAGACTTTCAATAAAAAACTAAATATTTGAACACATAAACCTTCAAGAAAAAAAGAACTATAAAAATTCTATGGAAAACAGAAAATAATACCAAAATATTAGCAAGATTATATTTCTCTAAATCAAATATATATGTACGTCAAAGTTAAATAATTTGATAGGTGTCATTGTTATTATTTTACCTAATAGTTTTTTTAAATTTATAAATAAAAATAGGATAAATTACATATTATATATTAAATTCTTTTAAACAAATAAAATTTTCTATGAATATATTATTTTTTAAAATAATTTTAAAAATAGTAGCTAAAAAAATAAACCAAAATATTAATAAAGAGTGTTAATTATATACCTAGTACCATAGAAACGATCAAACATGTTTGTGTTTGTGCATAGTTAAAAGAACATTACACCATTGATTCTTACATTAGTATCACCAACATTACATTATTCATCATCAACCTAATTTCAACAGTAACTAACAACATTTAAGTCCGAAAAGAACACAACACATTAATGTGATCAAAGACAAAAACACCAAGTCATTGTCCTTAGTCCTTACACTACTCTTAATCAGCCAAACTTCACGATGCTAAGACCACTCCTCTCTTATTATGTCCTGCGACAACCTTCCAAAGCCTCTCGTACCCATCTTTGTAATGGTCAAGAGATATACAAAGCTGTCTTATCGCTTCTCTTTTCTGCTCAGCTACTTCCGATGCAGCCACTCTCGTCTTCTCCACTTCTTCTCCAAGCTCACTGGACCTTCTTCTCAGCCTCACTTGCTCCATGTGAAGCTCCTTCATATGCTTTTCCATTTCCTTTATCTTCTCTTCTCTCTTCCCTATCTCTTCTCTCAGCACATTGCTCTCATGTCTCATTGCGCTTATCTTCTTGGATTCTCCTCTAAGCTTCTCCTCCATTTCAGCTCTCTCTTCCGTGATCAGCCTTATATGTGATTCCAGCTCCCTAAGTTGCTCTACAAGTTGGCTTCGTTCTTCAACAAGCTTTGACATTTCTCCTTTGATCTGTGCTTTCTCAGGGAAGATCTTCTGTTCAGCGTCAGAGACTGCAGTTTTCAGTGCCCTTATCTCGTTATCTCTGTCCTGTAAACTGGTTTTCACCATCACCAATCTCTCCTGCAACTTCAAGACTTCTTTCTTCTCCACGTTGAGCTTGTTTCTGTGAGTATCAGCGTCATTTTGAGCCAACTCGAGCTCATGCTGTAAACTCTGCAGCTTCTCCTCTGCAGCTTTACTGATCTCAAGCTCGTTTTTCAGAAAAGAAGTCTCTTTCTCAAAGCTCTGAAACTTCTCTCTCGCGATACTAAGCTCATGCTGTAAACTCTGCAGCTTCTCCTCTGCAGCTTTACTGATCTCAAGCTCGTTTTTCAGAAAAGAAGTCTCTTTCTCAAAGCTCTGAAGCTTCTCTCTCGCGATACTAAGCTCTTCCTCCAAGGCTTGCACTTTTGTAGCTGATACATCTTCAGTTACCGCTTTTTCAACACCAAGATGAGTTTCTGTTGCAGAGGACATGCAGCTCTGAAGCTCAATCTTCAGCTTAGCGATCTCTTCTTCGTGAACTCGAATCTTTTCATTAGCTTCTCTAAGCTCTGCCTCATATACAGTAATTTTGTGAAGGAGATTATTGTGAACATTAGCACTTTCTTGCTGGAGAAAAAGCTTCTGCTTCGTATCTTGGAGCTCAAGCTCTAGATCAGCCATCCTGCGGACCAATGCCTCGTCACCATCTTCATCATTGGCAGAGGAATGATCAGGAACTGACTTAGAATCAGAATCGGAATCAGAACCGGAATCTGTCAAAGACGACGAATCTTCCTCTTCCTTGTGACGGCGACTCGACTTCTCTTGGGAGGTAGGAGATGATTGCTCAAGAGAGCCCTGTGACTGGATCTCAGATGTATGGTTTTTCTGTAGCTCACCACTGGCTTGATCATACCGCTCAGCCAATGCGCGATACATGCGGTAGAATTCCTCAACAAGGTGGATTAACTCGGGACGCTTCTGGTAATACATCTGAGCTTTCTTGGCAAAAGAGTCTGCGTCTTCTTCAATCAGCTTTAACATGTGGTTCACACGGTCATCCATCTCTAAACAAGCCAAAAAACAAGAACAAGAAATGAACAAGTTCAGAATCTTTTTGTGCTTTTCTTTTGTAATGGTAAAGTGAAGTTAAACATACTCTCTAGATTCTCTGCAAGCCATTTTGAGTTCTTGGGACAGTTGTGACTATCCCACCACCATGAGTGTGATTTCTTGGTCATAGACCTCTTAAACTGCTTCTTGCTAAGAGCCTGAGAACATCAGATAAAAGGAGTCAATCTTTAGGACCAAGAGACCAAACACAAACGATCTAATGACGGTTTCTTACCGCAGACGAGGCCATGACTTTGAGGGGATGCAGAGAAACTCAGAAACCCCTACAAGAAGCTTCAAGATTGTCAACGAGTGTGATTCATATACTAACAACCTTTTGCACGCATTTGAAAAACTCAGAAAGACTCTGGACTGTCTCGGATTGAAGATTAGCTTGAGTTTGAGTTTATCGAAACAATTGGGATAAAACTAAAGAAACAAATTAGATGAGATAAGATGAAGAAGAAGAGAGGATTGCGCATGTGTAAAAAGAGACACGTGAAGCTTCAACAACCCCATTTTGGCATTTGCCACAAATCTCAAGATATCCAAAGATAAAAGTTTCAGCTTTTACTAGCATTTTATTATTAGCAGAGAAATCGATGAACCTAATAATATAATCGTAAATTGCAGAAAGAACAAGAGACAGAAAGTGTAGGAGACAAAAAAAGAAGAAGCTTACTTTACCCAGATGCAGAAAGACAAAGAGCTTGTGATTGAAAATACTCAAAAGAATATCATCTGCTTTTAAAGATGATTAATATAATCAAAAACTAAATCATCTCTGTTCCACGTTCTTCAAAGAAAAAATATAAAAAAATAATCAAGAGTTAGTTTCTCACATGAATCTTGAAATTTGGCAACGCGGTTCTGAATGTGAATACGCTCTCTCTACACGTCTTTAATCCACAGCTACTCACGAACTCACCTGCTTTTTTTTTTTAATTTTCTGAAGTCTTTCTTTTTCTTAAAACAAAAAAAAAACTCAATAATTGTGACATTGTGTTATGACATGGGACTCAGCATTGATGGCGGATCTGCAACGCCCAAGATTTTGCATGTGGCTTCATCGTGATTCGAGTTTTACTCCATCTCTCTAGAGTCTTGACATTGAGAGATGAAACTCATTTCTTCTGACACGACCAAACCAACAACCTTCAACAAACTTAGAAACATAATCATAAATTTTCACAAGCTAAATCGATAGTGAAAGATACCCAAGAAAAACATAAATCATGACGATGCAAAGGCTTAACCGAAAAAAATTGTGGATTCTTGATGTTAATTTTAGAGAAACAAAAATTAATCACTTCTCTTTTTTTCTATTGTTATCCCATCTACAACAAGAAAATTGAAACAAAAAAACACACACACAACAACAAAAACAAAACAAAAAGATCAAAGGGTTTTCTTGGTGTAATAATAACCGTTTTCTCATTGGGAAAAGATTCGAACATCACACTTAGGCTTGAGTGCATTCATCACATCACTCTGCTTCACATCTTCGCACGCAATAACAACCGGCAAATGAATCCTAAACCCCAACCAATCAAAACCCAATTTCCCGCTCAACAACACATTAACCACAGCTTCAAGCTTCTTCTCTTTGTTCCTCAGCAACGTAGCATCAACATCATAGACCTTGGATTTCCTCAGCCTCGTCGCAATATTCAAAGAGGTAACGTTTCCAGGGCTCTGCGTGAACCCAAGAAGCTTCTTCTGTCCGAGGTTAATGTTCTCGGAAGAGACAGCAGCTCTCATGGGGCTATAATACAACACCGTCTTGTCGTTTTTGTTAGACATCTGAAGAACCGCGTTCAAGTTCGCATTCAACAGAAGATCCGTCGTTGAGTTGACGAAATCCAATCTCGAGAACTTGAGGCTTGTGACAACAACCTGAGGCAGCTTAGATTTGATCGACGAGTTCACAGACAATCCTGTCAACAAGACGATGATAAGGACGATGGAAAGAAACATGCATGTGTAAGCACAGCATTTCCTGAAACACCCAGAGCAATCTCTCTTCTCATCTTCACCGATGTGATCCACGAAGGAGCCTGAGTTTCTACCGTGGTCAACCTCTTCTTCCTCTCTGAATCCAGGAAGCTTCAAAGACGGAGTCTTTCTCGGGATTTCGACAGCGTCGAACTCGTTTCGAAAGACGGAAGGGCTCGAGAACCTGGAGCTCAGGTCGAAAGAGCCTTTCCCGTAGCTGCTGTCTTCTCCTTCTCCTTCTTCCTCTGTAACTTTCTCGAGCACGCACTGCTTTGAAGCAAACTCAGGGAACACCAATGCGGGATCACCGAATCCGGAAGCCCTCGGAGGAGGAGGAGGAAGCGGCTCCGACATTGGAGCTCTGTTTTGGATTTCATCAAAATCGGATTTGTCTCTCTCTCAAATCCCAGATAGAAAAGTCTGAAGATAACTTCAAGGGTCCTAAATCTCTTAACGGCATATCATGGCTGTCTCTTTCCCAAAACAAACATGATTCGTTAATCTATTCTTGGCTTTGTTAATCATAAACCTAAAATTAGAAACCCCCAATTTTGCTTCAATCAATTTCACTTTTTTTTTTTTTTAAAGTTGAAATTTTGACTAACCGTGATTCATCTCCAAGCCTACTTTGTCACCGTCGCAGTTGCAGATAAATAGGTATTCGGTGGAGTCCGATGGAAATCTACGGCGAACAATTGCTCTCGCCGGGCCGGTTTTCACACTTTCCGATTTAATCGTCATTAATTTGAAATTTGCGGGGATGCTCGTCTTCGTGCAAATGTCACGGAGCCGAAAGATCGTCAATATTGGGCCTTAATGGGTTAAAAGTGATATTGGGCCTAGTTCGTCCTTAACATTATCGTCATATATCCTCTCTAATGCCACGTCAGCAATAAATGAAATTCACCCACAACAAAATGCATATATGAAAAGTGAAATCAGTGGTTTTTGATTTTCGTTTTCTTATCACAAAATCATTTTTTAAACAATAAACACACACTCAATAATCAAATACTTATAAATCACGCATCAAAGGGGAAAAAATGAGAACAAAAGAGAGCACACTAGACTAAAGTATAGACAAAAAAAGCACACACATAGAGACCAAAACGCAAAAGTAGTTGATCAAACGTTTATGTTTCTTTAAGAGATTGAGAATCTTCGTCTTCTTGGCTTAGTAATATCAACACCAGCAAGATCCTCATCGATGTTCGAAGTATCTTTAGACCCATGTCTAAACGGATTCAACTTCCCAAGTTTCTTCGAAACAGAGGAGAAGAAAGTATGTTTATTGCTCTTCTTGTTGCTCACCAAAGAAGACGAATTCGAAGAAGAAGCTCCTGCGCCATTCTTCTTCAGATCCGAAACATACATCTTCATCTTCATCAGCTCACTCCTCAAAGCTTCGTTCTCTTTAGCCAACGAAGTATCAGCTTTAACCTGTCCACGTGTCGCTAAAGCCTCGGGGACTATAACCACTGCTCCTTCGTTTTCTTCGACCCCGCTTCTTAGCTTTAACTGATCGTAGTAAAGCGCGTGGAGAACGATGTTCACCGGTAACCTCTTGTTCTGCGAAGCGTGGAGACGTGCGTCGTAAGAAAGCTTGAGAGGATCCATTGAGCTACACACTTTCTCTCTCTCGATCTCGTCAAGATTCGGATGAGCTTTCAAGAAGATATCGATCGCTCTGTAAAGATCGTCGTCTGATTTTCTAGCGGATTTGGGAACGAGATTCGCGATCGCGTTGAACTTGGAGATCGTTAGATCTCCGTATGTAGCGATCTCTGCTAAGTAAGAATCAACGGTTTTCGCAACTCTCTGGAGCGAAACAGAGCATAATCCTCTGTTGAAATCTCCGCCGTTGAAAACTCCGACGTTTTTCTCCTTCTCGACGAACGTAGAGATAATTCTTCTGACACTGTCCAGATCTAGTAACCGTTCGCCGTCGTATGTGAAAGAAGGGATCAAGAGATCGTCGACGGAGACATGCTCGAGAACGACGGAGATTCGTTTCTCTAGCTCGTTCTTGCAGGTGAGTGAAGTGTCCAAGAAGACGGCGCAACGGAGGAGAGAACAGAGGAAGTTGATAGGGAAAAGTGCTTTGTCAGAAGGTAAAAGAGTGACGATCGATTCCACGAGATCTCTCTGTTGCGATCTTTCGTCGGAATCGTTGTTTCCGGGATCGGAGAACTTGATTCCTCTGCCGGAATGGTCTCTGACGAGGTCTCTTAAGGATTTCTCGGTGTAGGTGATGATCGCAGAGGCTACGGAAGAAGGTTTAAGGCCTCTCTGTTTCATTGAAGCTACGACGTCGGCGAAGAAGTCAACGTCTAAGATACAGAGCTCCTCTGTCCACCAATTCGGTGGTGATCGACACGGAAACATTGCCTCGTTGCAAGCCTTTTTTAAAAAAAAGTAAATTAATTAAAAAAAACGTATTAGTTGATGTAATAAGCACTACAAAAAACTCATGGAGGCAAAACTATAGAACTTGAGACTCACGGAACTGAAACAGAGTACATAGAAGCCAAACCGAAATAAAACGAATGTCAATCCTAATACGGTTCATGGATTCATGTTTTATGTAGAAGAAACCATTAAAAACGAATAAACCAATCTGTTATTTTAACCTTTTTTTTGCACTTTAAAACTAATCATTATACATAAAAACCCTAAATACTAACCAAAATCGGTGTCTTACGACTAAAACTTAGAAATAAGCGACTAAGTGAGAATGGGTTATGAGTAGGGTTAAAACCTTAGCACCGACGACGTCGACACAACGGCGAACAATACCAAGATCACGAGAAATGGGAAGAAGAATCTCGCAAGACTTGAGGACGACGATGGCACCAGAGAGGCTAGAGAGAGCGACCTGAGAGAGAAAATCTTGTGTCCGACCAGCTAGATTATTGTCGCAGTACTTGTCTGTCATCTGGAGAAACTCAGCGGCGCAATGAAGAGCCGCCACGTTCTGGACGGTGATCTCGAAGTTAACGCCGTAACAGAATTTGGCTGCTTTCTCGAACATCTCGGGACCTCCGGGGATATCCGATAGATCTATTCTCGTCACGTCGCTGTCTTTCGATTCCATTATTAGCTTCCTTATGTAGTTACTCTTCGCCACTAGCATGAACTACATGATGAGATCAAGAGATTACATATTAATTAATTAAAACTTCTTATAATTAATCACAGCGGAATCTGTAACCTAATTAATGGTTCGTACGTACAAAATACTATATATCATCATTTCAGAACTCATGCGTGTATGAGTCTAAGACGACCAAGAAAGTGAAAAACAAAAAACTACTAGTTGTTATTTTTATGTTAAAACTGATATCAAGAACCAAGATTTGTTGTTACCTTATGAAGAGAGAAATTGGCTTCTCCGACTTCAACTACTACATCTGTCGGAATATCTTGTGAGAAAACCCTGCGTTAAAACACATATATATGTTAGGAACTTAGGATGAGGGATACATCGACCGGAAAAGTTATCCGGCGAATATATAGGTGAGAGTAGACCGGTTCGTACCATTGACCGGTTCTCTGAAGAGATGAAGACATAGTGTTCATGTTGATGGGGTTTTTTCCTTCTGTCGCCATTTTTATTGATGTGCTATTGGAGGAGACGATGGAGGGATAATTGGAGAGTGACTATATATTGAAAATTATTTAACGTGGGTCCATCCCAATCCACCCAATTGCTATGTAATATTTACGTTTGGCTTTTCTGTCTTCATTTTTTTTCAAATGTTTTAAATTTGTCGTTTTGTTATGTTACGTTGTTCATGATTATCTCTGTATAGGTTAAGTAGCATACTCTGATCTTTGTGTTGGTCTCCGTCGTGTACTCTCCTTTTCACCATTTTCTTTTAACCTTTCTCTATTTGGATATGTACTTGCATTGACGGCTCTGTTTTAGGTAACTGGGAAATTTATACCTGTCAAATACGTACCATTCTGTTTTAGATATGTATAAATATCATATAAAAGTTATTTTCTAATTTCTACTACGTACATAACATGCTTGGTTGATGTTAACGACTATTATGTTTTCACTTTCACTGGTTACACACACACACATATATATATATATATATATATAAATAAAGTGACAGGTATCAATCAGACAATTAATCAGTTTAAATACATATATTTTTCTGTCAACGAGATTTTTAGTATATGCATGCATGGTAAAAAAAAAAGTATGAAAACCACAAAAGCATGGGGATTAATAAATGGGAACATAGTAAATCGGCGGATATGAGAGATTCTGTCAGAAGAAAGCTGTTTTGAGTAAGCAATCTCGTGGCAACTGAACATAAAAGTCAGGACAAAATGTGACAGACGCCAAACGAATAGATGGCTAAATGAACTAATCGATCATATACAAGAAGTTAATTATTGTGATATAAATTAAGTATATTAATATTAGCTAATATTATGCCTAAAGTGAGATCCAATCATCTTCTAATTAACATAATATTCGATACGATTCATTTGGTTGTTGGCAGGAATTGGTAGAGTTGAATCGTTCCAAGATGAAAAACGCAATCTTACTTTTAGTTATAGAAAGTGATAGCAAAAAAAAAAGAAGATTTCACATGTAAAAAGCCTAAAAATTCTGAATTAAAGGAAGAAAATGCTGAATGTATATAAAAAAGCAGTGCATGTGAATCATTGACAGATAAGAAAATGTACCCAAAAAAATTGAAATTAAAAGTGGATGTACGATTAGAGATAGAGATGTGGGAGCCATGGAAGTTAGGAAAAGTAGGAACATGTCATGGATAGGCCCAGTCCAAATATGTGGTGATCCTTCTTCCTATACCTCGTGGTGTATGGCTTCGCTACGTCAACAAATCATCTCTTAGAATCCAGTTTCAAGTTTTTAATCCAATTATTTGTTTACACGTGTCCCTATCACCTTAAAGATATCTCACATCTCTTCTTCATTGCCCTAGTTGCCCAAATAATGTTGTGCCGGTGAGACTAGTTTTTAGTCTATTTTGTGGTTTGAATTTGTAGATTTCATATGAATGATTTGTGGGTTAATACTCTATAACTGGCGATAAATCTTACTTAGGCCTTCCAACTTAAGATAAATTAATAAGCTAGAAGACTATGTTAATTAAATTTTATGAATTTCCAATTTCAAAATCAGTTATCAAAAAGTTGTTACTTCATGTCTCATATAGTTTAGGTCATTATAACTCTTGATGTATGATACTAACAGTTTTCCTCTAGATCATATCTAGACAATAAACATATAAATTCATTAATTCAGATCGAGAGACTAATTATTCAAAATTTTAAGGTGATAAGGAATGTTTTGGTTTAAATTATATAGATGAAGCATTCATGTTTGGAAATAAGTTGGACCAGAGAGGATGATGCTATCATCTAATACCACAAAAGTACAAACCCCTGAGCTGTAATGCCGTCTAGTTCAATCAACACATTTGACCACAATAGTTACTTACATCTATGGACTGACACTTTCGTATATATTATTAGTTTGGTTCAATATAAAGAAAACTATGAACTTAAAATTTCTTATCTGTTTATGGGATATGCAAATTGCAAATTCTAAATTTTCGAAACGGATTGAATTTGCGAGTGGGGCTGTGTAATAATGAACAACGGTCCCGAGTCCTGACGACCTCTCGGCGGCTAAACCGACGAGACATTAAACAGAAACAAAGGCTAAGAAAAGGATGCAACTAGAAAACAAAATGAAAACCAGAAATATGAACAATTTGGGCCAAAGTTGGTTATTTGTCAAAAAGCCCAATGTCTACGTCAAATTCATAATCACGCTTCATCCAATTCCTATTCACACTCCAATGTCGTCTTCTTAGGAAACGCCAGACGAGTTTAGAACATCTCGCTTTCGTTGTTAAACAATCTCTTATCCGTTATATATGTGGTTGGGGGCTTGCATGGATTCGGATTAGAGTCAACGGTACGAAAAAATCGTCACTCGAAACTTGCTTGATGGATTTGACCAAGAAAAAGAAACAATCAATTCAAACACACGAGTTTTCTTAAACGCAAGGATCTTAGTTTTTACCGGGAAAACATAACTATAGTTATTGCCAAGCCCATTGGACTCAACGCCAACAAGCCCAATAGTACATGCACACTATATAAATTGAAAATCTCAGTTATTTTCTATATGATCATTCAATCATTTTGTTATTTTATTATTCATTTAATATACGAGTCAAACCTAATTTATCCTTTTAGTTTGATTTATGCTCATTATGCATGGATATTATACGTTCCATTTTTTTTTTTTTTTGTACAATATCACGTTCAATATATCTGTTACTAAATTGGTATGGAAAACTACACGACCAATCTACAAAATCAGAACGACGTGGACCAAATCTATCAATCAAACGGATTATTCTATCGCCATGAGGCACACTTCCTCTATTTGCTAGTGAGAATATAGATGTTTTGTTAATATAATATTATCAGGCTCGGTTCTAGAGTCTAGACATGTACTCAAGGTGCATTTGCACAAGATCTATTTAATTTTTTATACATTTTAATTAGATTTTAGGAGTTTTTTAAAAAATTTAGAAGTTTTTTTTTTGTAAATTTAGTTTATTATGCTTATAAATTTATGGGTTGGACCTGTTATATTTATATCAACTTATTTATCCTTAAACCAACGACGAGTGTGTGTTCCTTGACTCATATTTGTTAGATTATTTAGGTAGATTAGTAGTGTTGTATAAAACCGATTACAAGCTCGTACATGTGGTCTGTATGGATATACTCAAGTGACTCAAAAAGTCTATTTTAGGGAGAATCCGGTTTACTACAACTGTAGAAAACCAAGATTCCATAACCGGAAATTAAATTATGTACCCGCTGCGTGTGGAGTTTGATGGCACCGTCAAGCGTTGACGACACAAAAATTGAAAAAATTGGCATCATTTGCGACGAGATCCAAAAGATGCTCACAGGAAGAAAACCCTAGATCGATTCGACCCTCAACCCACAAAATCGGAGACTGTGAGATTCATCGATTGATTGTAAGAGAAGTTGATGAAGGTCGAATGAATTGAGGATTTCAGATTTTGAGGAAACTCGAAGATCTTAAATATGGAGACGGAGAGGGATAAGGAAAGGATGATGTCGAGGATGTCTTATTCGTCTTCTTCGTCGTTTCCTCCTTCGGCTTCATCTTCTGCTGCATCATCGCTCGCCGCGAAGGCAATTCGAGCGTCTTCTGCGCACAGAGACTCTTCTCTTTCCTCTGCCTACTCGTCTCCTTCCTCTGCTCCTGTTCTCACTCCACCCAAGGTTTCGTCTTTGGTTTCTCTCCTCTCTCTATTTCTAGTGTGTCCTGGATTGCTTAATTACCCTTTTAGTCTGTTTAAGCAGTTCGAATGATTCATGGGTTACTCTGTTTTCGCTTCAATTGAAAATGTTCCGCTCTTGAAATTTCGGGTCTCCATTTGAATAGGAGGTGAAGCATCATGAGTACACGTCCATGAAAAGCTTGAACGAACCAAAACGAAGCTTTTGGGGAAGTCTAGCTAGTAAAGCAAAGGCTCTTTTGGATGATGAGGATGATCCTCACCAACTTCCTCAAAGTCCCAGGAGAACGGAGCAGAACACGCCTTCTTCGACTTCAGGGACCAAGGTTAAGAACTAGCTTTGTAAACTTGCATTCGTTCCTCTAATTCACTCGTGGAATGCGTTCTGATGGAGTTGAGATTCGTTTCCATGTTTTCAGGAAGCTGGTCATACGGGTAGGAAAACCGAGAATCCTTCATTGCAGAGAAGCTTAGACGCGATCACTTCATCGTTAAATTACATTGGTGGCACCATTGGCACTGTAGTTGAGGTTAGCTTCTTACTCTTTATGCACCCGTTCACGGCACTAGAAGAGGCATATATAACTTTGTTTTGCTTTAGGTTTCAGCGAGTTCTCACACTAGTTATCCATTCTTGTGTGTTTCGATGCATCTTCTGTTGTTTGGGGCTGAGGTTGTTTATTATGTCTGTGAATTTCTTTAGGAGGGTATTACAGCTGTGGAGAACCGTACTGCAGGAATCATTCAAGAAACCCGTAAGAAGATTAAGAAAAAGCCAAGCCTTTCACGGAACCAGCAGAATCCTGAGCTACAAACAGATTTGGAAATTCAACTAAAGGCATCTCGCGACGTAAGGTGGCTGCTCTGTATCATCTAATTGATTGACAGCAGCAAATATATATTCATCTGCTTATTTTCGCTGTTGTTGTGTCCTCGTTTACTGATTGTTGAGTTTGAAATTATAAAACTTTGATGTTAAGTTCCAGATACAGATACTGAACCTCCTATAACTCTATCTCAATAGGTTGCAATGGCCATGGCTGCAAAGGCAAAGCTTCTTCTTCGGGAGCTGAAGATGGTGAAATCTGATCTAGCCTTTGCAAAGCAACGATGCGCTCAGCTGGAAGAAGAAAATAAGGTTCTGAGGGAGAATCGTAGTGGCGGGAACAGCCAAGCTCATGACGATGACCTGGTATCAGTTTCTTTTACTCTTTTACAAAGCCTTAAAGTTAACATTGTTTATATAAATTTTCTGATCTTTCGTTGTGTTGTGTGTTTTTCTTTCTTATCTATAGGTACGACTTCAACTTGAAACGTTATTGGCTGAGAAGTCTCGGTTAGCTCACGAGAACTCGATATACACTCGCGAAAATCTTTATCTGAGAGGAGTGGTCGAATACCATCAGCTCACGATGCAGGATGTGGTCTACTTTGATGAGAAGACTGAGGAAGTAACTGAGGTATATCCCATTAATCTAACTTCAAAGTCTTCTTCATCAGATATCTCTCACACTCCTCTAAACCCACAAGCCTTGGAGTTCAAGTGAGACACAACAACTCTCAAATTGTTCTGCTGTTGTAGTGAATCAGACAACTAGAGAAATCGTTGTCTGTAATCGATCTGTATCTGTAGAAATATATGTACTTTTGTATTCTCTTCTTTTTGGGGTGGGGGTCTTAAGAATCTGGCACTGAATGTTATTTATAACCCTTAATTTAAATAAAAAAGAATGTTCTATAATCCCCTTGAAATATTGCCAAAAAGGCTGAGCTTGCTACTACACTGGTTGTTGAAATTAGTCAATTATTATAGCAACTTTCATGAAATTACAAAACAAACAATATTTATAAATCTACATTACAAAGGTTGCATAGGCTACGATTGTGTTTGTTTGTTGTTGTTGTTTCTTATTGAAATAGATTCTCTTAGATTAGAAAGTTTGAACACCTTTTTTCTCTAACATAGATTGGCCTGAAATGGCTTAACCAGAGGAACCAGCGTGCCGCTTAGGTGCATCGACATGACTTCATTGGTCGAACCCACGAGCTTCCCGCCCACAAAGATGGCTGGGACCGGCGTGGAACAGCCGAGCCTCATTAGGGCTTTCTCGATCTCACGACAATCAGGGTCCTTATCTATCTCATGGACGGTCGGGTGGACACCGAGGTCTTGGAAGAGAACTTGAACCGCATAGGACATGCAACACGAGCTCTTACTGAATATAACCACTCCTTTCTCTGATGATATCCTCACAACTTTGTCCATGGCTTCTTGAAAGAAGTCTCAATTTAATCTCTAGGGCTTGTTTCTTGAAGAAGAAGAAACAATATCTTCCTTTGTTTATCCCTAGTATAGTGAAAGAGATTTATAATTGAAAACCCATGGACTAAACCTCGCTTTTGGGTGAAGAAAAAGGTTTTTTGTTTGTTTGTTTGTATACACTACAGTATTAAGCTCAGTGTTGCCTGAGACTTGAGTTCTTGAATCATAAGGCTATTTATAACAAAACAAAGGAAGAAGAAAAGAATGTTGAGACCACAAAAGAGAGAAATAAAGAGATCACACAAGATCGTCCAAAAGGTTCCCCAAGTACATCAAAGTGTCTTTATTGTTTATTTTTTAAAATTTTGTATTAGTAAGGAAGGGACCAACAAAAGTTGCATAATCCTAATTCACCTACCCTTTTTTCCTCCTATATACCAAAATGAGAATTTTGATTGAACAGGACCATATGGTTGCAGATATGCCTAGAGGATATGGCACATGTTTATATTTTATTTACAAGAGCTCGTTTATTCTCATGATAGAATTAGAATTTTATATTTTATGTGGACCAAACTTCCACTTTTTTTTTGTTTTTTCTCTTAAGAATATTATTTTCTTGCAAGAATCATGCTCATGAGATGAAGGGTGTGAGATAGCCCAAAGTTGGTGGCGAATAAGCCAAGAGATATGCTTATATATTCGTCTCTGGATTGACGGCATTTATCGTAGCCACGAAAAGTTATCAGACTGGTTTTGATGGATCTGATGGTGTATGTTTCAAGAATAAAAAACCCAATTCTTGAAACATGTCACTATACAATAAGATATGATTTGTCTTTGTGAGATTCTCTCAATCTCACTTCAGTAGTGATGATCATCAGTGAAGGAATACAAATTCCTATTGTATTCCTTTTTTCAGCAATTTGCCAAGATTCTTTCCCTCTTGACTCATTTAATTGAACGTGCATCAATGAGTCTGTCAGGAATCTCACGTTGAGATGAGAGAGCTACACTGATATAAAAGACATGGATCAATCTAATTTTATTAATTACTATTTGATTTTGAGTTGAAAAACTTGGATGTTATATTGTTATTAGAATGAAATTTGATCAACATTGGCCAGATAAGCTATCATCTCAAATAAACCAATTGGTTTTGATCAAGCTCGGTCCTGAATAATAATGTACCTAAAACATTAAATAAAAAATCCCAAATTTGTAAAATGAGCGCCTGAACTTTCAGATCACTAACCAAGTTATTTAAAAAGAGAATCAAGTACTTTTAATAAAGATAATCTTAAAATTTAGAGAGATTTGCAAAACGAACCTATTTGAATAGATTAATATGCCTTAATAACGTTCATAAAAGGTGTTAAGAAACTAGAGTTGTAAGATCACTTTGTCTCTATTAGAGACATTAGGTTAGTCTCTCACAACATGTGTTGTTGATGTGAATGTTTTTGGAAACTTTTATTCTTCAAGTTAGTAAATATTAAGGCTAAAATTTATTAAAATTGTTGTGAATTTTTTTTCTTCTTTATAATATATATTGTTTTTGATCATCTTTTTAAACATAACCGAACATTCTTCGAGTTAATATAACAATTTTTCCTACAATAATTTTCTGAAATTTCATCAAACAATTTGAAAAAAAATCATGTGTTTATGGAAATTTTGATAAGTTATTATAAATGTCAATGTGTTTCCCCTGATGAAACACTATTCATCTTTCTCACTTGAATTTTCAGTTTTATTTAAATCTTAAAGCGAAGATGCGGTGCGAGGTTATGGTGGACTAAGGCAAGTCGAAAGGGAACATGAAGAAGGTTAAGGAAAAAGTAGGCTGTGTACATAGGTGGTTTGGTTCAGAACTGTGAGATACACTTCGGTAAAAAGACACATCGAACAATGTGATAATAAATATTCTTTGAGTTAGAATCTCATATATAACTGAACAAAATCTATTTTCTTCTTGATTCTAATACGGTCATGTGAAATAATCTCAATTAACCATCCCATTACAAATTGAACTGTATATTTTGTCATCATCAAGCTTTGATGTTTATTGATATCGATAAAGGTATAATTCCCAATATATATGATCTTTCAACCGAGTCTAACTCCATCCCGAGCATCCTCCATATGATGCAGACATCGGTACATGATCTTGAGCTTAAAAAGTTTGGGCTTTTTAGGTCTTTGAACATTTTTGGGCCATCTTTCAGCTTAGTTTTCCATAAATTTTATATTGCTCTAAAAGGTGGGGTTTGTCCCAAGAGACTAAGCAGGATGTCTTTCTTGTTACATTTTTTTTGTTTCTTACATGGAAAAATGGTGGTGGAGGTTGGAAGTAATATAATATAAAAGACAAAAGTAATTGAAACCACCATGTGGAGATCGATGTATCATGCTGTAAGATATGATATATCCGATTAAAGTAAGGTTCCATTAGATAAGAGTGGTAGTATTCATTATTCACACTTCTATATCTACCACTAAAAATGTTTACTATGCGATCGAAGACTTACCCTTTAGAGAACTTTTTATAGTTTTGGTCAAGAGCTTTTTTTGGCTTTTACTATATATATGACTGAAAAAAGTGAGTGGGTTATGTATTGTGGTCTATCACATGTACAATGAAACCTTGAGCTCACGCAGGGTTACGGGGAAATAAAACAAATACTCCGAGAGAACAACTTGAGATAGCATGGTCTCGGATTAAACTAAATATGGATGGTGCGGTCCATGGTGATATGGACTTTGCAACAGGTGGAGGAGCATTACGCGACGAAATGGGAGATTGGTGTGGTGGGTTCGCACTGAATATAAGTATTTACTTTGTATTTTTAGCTGAACTTTGGGGAATTTACTATAGGTTATACATAGCTTGGGAATATCGTATAACTCGTTTAGAACTCGAAGTGGATTCAGAAATTGTTGTTGGATTTCTGACTACAGGGATAAGCGATTAACATCTCTGTCTTTCCTAATACATTTGTGCTATGGCTTTCTATCAAAGAACTAGATACTTCGGATTAAACATGTTTATAGGGAGGCAAATTGTCTAACAAATAGTTTGGCAAACTATACTTTTTCTTTATCTTTGGGTTTTTTCTATTTAGAATTAGCACTAGATAGCGTTACTTCTATTGTATTAGCAGATGTTGTTGGGAACACAAAAACACTTTCTGTTCGAATGTAAACTCTTTTGATTTTGAATAATACTTGAGAGACTCCTTGTCTCTCGTCTTCTTCCAAAAAAAAACACAATGAAACTTTGAAGAAGTCTGCAGAGAGGATGTTGGTGTAAACATATTTGACTTAAACATGTCTCTTTCCTTTCATATTTGTTTCTTATTACCGCTTACCCACACCCTATTTTCATTTTTCAATAACGTTTTTCGTCACATTTTTTAAATATTCAATTTACATACTAATTTACTCTATTTATCCAAAGTTTTCTATTAAGAGAATATAAGATATGTAAAAGGACAATATATGCCTAAACTAGAAAATAGAAAACCTAGAAACTCTCTCTTTCGTAGCTATATTGTACAATACAAAGATAGGTTATGTAATGTTTCAAAGATAAAATGGTGTGCATTGTCTCAACTATGACTAAACTGAGAAGAAAAATGAACATGTAATTGAATACTAATGACTTATACAGTCATCTATATGTTTAATAAGTATAATAAATCAATATTAAATGTGTGACATAGAATACTTCTTTGAAATGGAAAACTAATATAAAATATGTGCGAGTTTGGATGTCACGATACAAAATCTCCACAAAAGCGTATACTCGATGGAATATATACAGAACATTTATTCACGTATTATTATATTTTCTGATTGAAGATATTTTCTAGATCATCAAATTCCAGTAGAGACCTCCTAAATCATTCTGATTTTGTATTAGTAATTTGAACCACCAACAAATACATGTTGAGTTGCCTTCCCACGCGATTTCTCTCCAAATACATGCTATATTACTAATTTAGTAATTTAATTAATAAATCACATGTCAACATATTTTATGATGAAACATAAAAGTAAGTAATGACGAAGGAAGGACACCTCATTCCAGAATGTGATGAGATTGAGCTGTCTTTTTGTTGTAGAGATTTGGTCGGGGTCAACTATTCATATGCATTTTATCTAACTGATTAAACACCATCAAAATATAAATATTAATGTCTATGAGATTTCAACAATCTTTTAGTTTAAATATTAGAAGCATGATATGGATTCACACATTAGCTTTTACAGCAGATTTACAAAGAGTTTGGTTATATATATATATATATATATATATATATATATATTGAACATGACTTTTCCCACAAACCATGCATCCGACCTACTTATAATTAAGATGAGTTGAGTCATTCTTTTCTCTTTTGACGGCAAGTTGAATAATTTAAGTTCTCTTGACGATTACTACAGATCAATTCGAAGTTACTCTTATAATAGATTTTACCTATTAATTTTAAAATATTGAAACAGGGCAAAGATCGTCGCTATCAATCTTTTTAGGAGTGTAATAGAAATTAAACAAGATAGTATTTTCTAATAACAAACGGATATTATTAATCAAACACCTATAACCAATATAGAACCATAGTTCACGTTAATTTATTATGAAGTGCAAAAATGTCGAATAGTAGTGTTCCAAATCTTAACACGATCGACCTATTTAATGGTAGAACCTAGAAGATTAAGCCACGTTTCGTCCCAGCTGTGCAGTGTCCCACCTACATTTGATGGCATTCTTCAAGACACCACTTTATTAATGGGTATCTATAATACTACTCGTGTTTTACGTGAGTATAATTTTAAAACACACGTATGAAACGAAACAATGATTTATTGATTTGTGTTCAATTTAATTAGAATTTCCTACTTTAAGAATGCTGCGTTCCCTTCTTTAAGAAACAAACAAGATGGTAGTAATTAGTAACACATGTAATCTCAAAACGACACGGAAGCACACAAAAAAATTGTTATCAGAAGTTAGAAGTACATTCATTTTAACTTTTGATACTAAAAAATTACAATTTGGACGAAAATGTTCAAATTTTCAATCAGTTTCAGTGACCTTTTCCTTCCAATTTTAAAAATCAGAGTCCATTATTTGCGCGCGCAAACTAATGGTAGATGGATCCTGATCCTCGATCTTCATCATTCCTCGGATCCCAATGCCTGCCTTTTGCCATTTTTAATTAATTATCATGCGATGACACTTCGAAATTCCCAATGCTATAGTAGTAGTATTTTAATAATGCATATGATCATTCGTAACTTATCAAAGAGAAAATAATATCGAGTGCAACTTCTTTATTGCATGTTACCAATACCATTTATGTGTAGAAGAACACGTTTTAGATATTTTTTTTAATGTTGTGTAACTTGTATGTATATATATTATAAAGCATGGTCCTAACAAATTGTAATCAAGCTCTGAAAGCTTCTCTCAACAATGGCGACCATTCCTTCTTACAACCTTCTTACGATCAACCGAAAGAACTCCATCACCGGTAACTCTTCTTCTTCTTCTTCTTCCTTCAATACCAGCTTCTCTGAAACTTCGTTCGTTAATCTCCCGGCGAGAAGGTTCCGAGTAGCTACGAGAGCTTCTTTGTCTAGAACCGACGAGGCTTCTCTATCCGCCGTGATTTCGAGGCTCGAGCGAGAGAGGCAAGGATTGATCGAAGAAACGGAAGGAGCTGGAGTCATCCGCGGTGGCGGAGAACAGTGGATGACGGCGGAGGATTTTCGCCGGCGAGATAAGAAAGCCGAGGAAGAGAGGAGGCTGAGAGACACGTGGCGTAAGATCCAAGGAGAAGACGATTGGGCCGGGTTAATGGATCCAATGGATCCGGTTCTTAGAACGGAGCTGATCCGTTACGGCGAAATGGCTCAGGCCTGTTACGACGCCTTCGACTTCGATCCTTCCTCGAGATACTGCGGCAGCTCCAGATTCTCCCGCCACGATTTCTTCGATTCGCTGGGGATGAACGATTCGGGATACGAGGTGGCGCGTTACCTCTACGCGACGTCGAACATCAATCTCCCAAACTTCTTCTCGAAATCGAGATGGTCCAAAGTCTGGAGCAAAAACGCTAATTGGATGGGGTACGTCGCCGTCTCCGACGACGAAGCCACGCGTAACCGCCTTGGCCGCCGTGATATCGCGATCGCGTGGAGAGGAACCGTCACGCAGCTCGAGTGGATCGCGGATCTCAAGGATTACTTGAAACCAGTTTCCGGTAACAACATCCGGTGCCCCGACCCGGCCGTTAAAGTCGAATCCGGGTTTCTAGATCTGTACACTGACAAAGACACGACCTGCAAATTCTCGAAATTCTCGGCGCGTGAGCAGATCTTAGCGGAGGTGAAGCGTCTGGTGGAGAGATACGGCGATGACTCGGAGGAGCTGAGCATTACCGTGACGGGACACAGCCTCGGCGGCGCGTTGGCTATACTGAGCGCGTACGACGTGGCGGAGATGAGATTGAATCGGACTCGGAGCGGGAAGGTGATTCCGGTGACGGTGTTAACGTACGGTGGGCCGCGCGTGGGGAACGTGAGGTTCAAGGAGAGGTTGAAGGAGCTGGGAGTGAAGGTGATGAGAGTGGTGAACGTTCACGACGTCGTTCCGAAATCGCCGGGACTGTTTCTGAACGAGAGTGCGCCTCACGCGCTGATGAAGATCGCGGAGGGGTTGCCGTGGTGTTACTGCCACGTGGGGGAGGAGCTGGCGCTCGACCACCAGAACTCGCCGTTCCTTAAATCCTCCGTTGATCCTTCAAACGCTCATAACCTCGAGGCTATGCTCCATCTCCTTGACGGGTCAGTCCTTCATTTTATTTTATTTTTGAATATATTTTTATAAAGCATTTTTAGTTCCTATACTTCATGTTCATAATTTTGTGTTGCTATTTCTCCAGAAATCTTTGGAAAAAAAAAAACAGACATATGATAGACTTGAATAGTGACTATATTGATAATTTGATACTAAGATTAAGAGGCCGACAAAAGCAAAACTGATGTGATTAAGAGATGGTGAGACTTTAGTTACAAAACTATTTAGTTAAGAAAAGTCGTATAGATAGAGATATGTTAATTTTGTATTTCGAAGTTAAAACGACAAAATTAAGGCCGTGGGGTATATTTTTAGTCAATTTATTAGACGATAAAAGATTTGAGAAGATCAAACTAGTTTGAATATAATATTGAGATCATCTGGATTACGTCTATTCTTCTGGCTGGACAGTGGACACCTTCGTGAAGACAGATTTGTGTTTTGCAAATATGATTGGCCCGAGAATATCGCGTGATTGACTATTTTACACTATAATTAATTGATACATTTTTTGTAGTAGTATATAATATTTTAAAAAGGTTAGTGTAATTAACTTACGTAAATTTTGTTTAATGCATATAGGTATCATGGGAAAGGGGAGAGATTCGTGCTGTCAAGTGGGAGAGACCCAGCGCTGGTGAACAAAGCGTCGGATTTTCTGAAAGAGCATTTTATGGTGCCACCGTTTTGGCGTCAAGACGCGAACAAAGGGATGGTGAGGAACAGTGAAGGCCGTTGGATTCAAGCCGAGCGACTCCGTTCTGAGGATCATCATTCTCCCGACATCCACCACCATCTCTCCCAGCTCCGTCTTCTCCCTTCTTCTTAAATCATCACACCTTTATACATATAAGCATATAAAACCACTTTTCTTTGTACACGTCACATATATAAAAATCCTAAGCGTTTCATCATCATCTCCAACATTTACTTGCTTGCAGCCTAATCTTCTTGATCAATCTTGCCAATTGAATATGCCACGAGACCATCAGGCACCAGCATCCATTAATCTCACTACAAAATCACATTGTATCTTCAAAACCATAAACATGTAACTTTTGTTTACAAAACCAACTGAAAGTTACACACTACTCATTACATAGGATTCTTCGTTTGCGACCACTTTGCGGCTCTATCTTTTGCCAGGAATTTGCGACCAACATGATTTGGGTCGTGTTTGCTTTCCGCAAATTTTGCCACGAAGTTTTTCCGTTGCAAATTTTGTAACTAACTCGCGTGACTTTCCTTTCCTTTGCGACACCCCTGCGACGAATTTTGATTTATGGCTAAGCTACTAAGCTACTGCAACATTTTTGTTTCCGTTGCAAATTCGACATTACTGGCCATTTGCGACATACTTGCCACCAGATTTTCAGTCGGAAATCGCGTCTTTTCTTCTAGTGAAAATTTAATTAATTTTATTTTAGTTAACAATTATTTTGAGTATAAGGGATATAAGCCAAAGTTATAGCTGGCTGGTCTACTCATATCAGTTTTCTCCCAAGGGAGAAAGAGAAGAGTTTGTTACGAGTTATCGAAAACATATAAGATCCAAGAGAGAGAGAGAGAGAGAGAAAAGATATAGCAAATATTCTTCAGAGAGTTCTTTTTGTAAATCTTAGTGCTGTACCCAGACGTAGAAAATTGACTCGATCGAACAGTATTAAATCTTGTTTTTCCCTCTTACTCTGATTTTCTTATTCTATATCAGGTTTCTGTTCGGACTGATTCGTTGGGTGAGAAGGGTGAATTTATCATGATTTCTTGACAACTCTTATTACACCATCTTATTGACATTGTAGTATATATTAAGCATGTAGTAAACATGAAAGTCAAACTACTTGAATAACTCACCATATATTACTTAAAAACCTACGGCAACAGACAGTAACAAAATCAGTAACGAAAAGAAAAGTCATTTAGGAGTTTGGACAAAGCAATTAAAAAAAAACAAAACACAAGAATTGTATGAAGAAGAGTTCCTCCATTAAACCATAACAGCTAGAGAATTCCTAAAGCAAAAATCCCCAGTTAAAACAAGATCACACCACTCAACTTGACCCCAAATATCTCCTCCTTGACGTCTTTCCAGCGATATCTCTGCACACCAAATCTCTCTTTTAGGGTTAAAAAACAAAGCCAGTCTCCCACCGTATCTCACAGTCTTTGACCACCATGCAAGTCTTGTCTTAGCCAACAGTTTTTCCAAACCATTCACCACTCCCCAACACCTCTTCTTTGGATCATACTTTCTTAAATTGTTCTCACTACAATCAAAGTAGTACAATACGTCATCGACGACACAAGCATTCTCCCAATCCTTTAGGTTCAGCATCTCGTCTATTTCCCATTTATTTTCCTTTGGAGCGTAAACAAAGCTGTTATCATCATCCCTCCTGTACAGCGTATCAGCCATCGCCACACAGCCATAATTATAATCAATGCCTGCCTTTATAACCCTAGGCTCCTCCCACTTTTGTGTTTCTGTATTGAACACCACCATCACCTTCTTCCAGCGGGCATCAAAATAGTTGTTTCCAATAACATATATCTTTCCATCGATGATGTCAGCGATTGTATTACACATGGGCGCAGGTATGCTGGTGAGAGGTTTCGACGTGTGAGATATACAATCGATGGCTAACGCACTCATTGTCAAATTGTTAATCCTGCCAAACACATATATCGTCGAGCCTACACCTACCAAGCTTACAGCACCATAAGGCATAGCGGGAAGCGAAGGGATAAGAATCAAGCGGCGATTTCGGAGAATATACCAACGGTCATCACTGATTTTGCTGTTATAGAGGAGAACATAGAGACAGTGTTTGGTGCAACCTAACAATGATCGCCTCGCGTATATCTCAGGCGACGCAACGAGTGATCGGAAGTGTTTAGAAACTAGGGAAAGAGTTGGATAGTTGTATCTCGATACTCGCGCTAAGATGTCAATGATGATGTCTTCGTGAAGTGACGTCATCAGAGACGGTGGTCCGGAGGATTGCTCCTTCTCCATATCACCCAACCTCACGCAGAACCCTATTTTCCTTTTAGCTCGTGTTTAAAACCTCTTGATATAATATTATTATTTTTACTTAATATTTTAAAAAATATTTTTATAAAATTTAATAAATGAGTATACACTAATTTAATAGTTTTAAGAAAATATAATTTCCATTAATAATGTGATGGAAGAAGAAACTTTTGTTTTCGCTTTCCTGTGTTATCATGGCAATATTCACATGCAATCCACTGTGTTTTTGTTGACATTTGTAGACGTTCAAGTGGTACGAGAAACTCAGTATCCGATCCTATCGGTATCAATTCACTAAGCAGAGACTTGTATTGGTGAATTTTACTTGCTTGCAGCCTAATCTTCGTGATCAATCTTGCCAATAGAATATCCCACCAGCATTCATTAATCTCACTACAAAATCACATTGTATCTTCAAAACCATAAACATGTAACTTTTGTTTAGAAAACCAATTGAAAGTTATACACTACCCATTACATAAATTTCTTCGTAGAGATGTTTGATGTATATTGTTTGATGTTATTATTTGGGAGAATTGTTATAACTAAACAAAGCCGAAATTTATTTAATTTAATTTACTTAGCAATTATTTTACTGAGTTTTTGTCTAAAAATAATTCTAAGCCTAAATAAACAGATTAAACAAAGATGGTATACACTATGACGCTTTATATATAACTCGTGATGCGTGTGACTCTGTTTCCTTTACGAGTAGATATACTACATACGTTTACGAGGCGATTGGGTGTGAGTCAATAGATTCACAATGCAACGACTATAATAAATCGTATTATTGGGAAAGACTAGTTTTGACCATCCGCTTTGAAAATTTTCCCTATTATAAATACCTCAATCATCTTCACTTTCATTTATCATTCACACAAATCTTAAAAATCTCTCAAGAGTATAACTAACTAAACAACAAAGAATATGGGAGGAAAAGGCGGCAGCGGCGGTGGAGGAAAAGGTGGCGGCGGCGGTGGAGGGAAAGACGGTGGTAGTGCTGGTGCTGGTGGTGGAGGAGGAAGGAGCGGCGGTGGTGGTGGTGGAGGAGGAGGGAAAGGTGGTGGCGGTGGTGGAGGAGGAGGCTACACGCTGCATCAGAAGCAATGGGTCTTCTTACATATCGAGAGATAACTTTGAGAATGACCCAAAAGGTTACTTTGATAATCTGCACGGTAGCGGACAGGGTAGCAAGTAACTTTGGTCTGTGTATTTCAATATCTATGCAGTGAAAATGGTTGTTATCACCAAATCTATTATCTAATAATAATCAAATAAAATGATGTTTTTTTACTTTTCGTCTTCAATCCTCCTTTGTTAATTGTATGGTGCATGGCTTTCTTGAATTTTGATTTCAGTAGTATTATTGAATTAAAAATTAGAAGTTTAAAGTAACAGAAAAATAAAATAAAAATATATGCTGCTTTTATTATGGAATAAGTTCATCAGGAGACTCACATATAAAATAATGGCTGTTATCACCGAATATATGATCAAATAAAATGATGCTTGTTTTTTACTTTTCATAGATGAATACCAAGCGTATACATGCAGTGTTTTTTTTTGTTAACAAGTATCCAAAATCGACGATTCTTGTTCCGATTTTGGTTAGTGGTACTCTGAGGATAAAGGTTCCAAATGTGGCGTTTGAGAGAGGAGCAAAGAGCCACTCAGACTATATTGTAGGTATATTCTACGGAATTACTCCTTATAGAAAAAAATTGGAATAAGGATCGGCGGATCACAATCCATAACATGCGTTCTTGTTTCACATTCCTTCTGAAGCACTAAGAAGAATGATTTTTCAACATGAGCTTTGGAGGGTTGGTGTCTCTCCTTTCTTTGTTACAGAGTGGAAGGCTTCTTTTAGTCTAGATCTTTCATCGCTTCAAAGGACTTCGATCTGGGCATTTGTTATCAAAGTTCCGTTTGATCTTATTACGGATGAGGGTCTTTTTATTATCTCAAACCCTTTGGGTGTCATTGTGGATGCTAAGCCCTTCTCTAGCATACACTCAGTCGAGATAAAAGTGGTGGTAGACCTTATTTCTCCGCTACCGAATTTGATTGAGGTAGATGGACAGGTTGAAACTTTACTTGTCTCATATCCTTGGTTGCCGCCTTTGTGTCCTATTTGTAATGAAATTGGTCATAAAGCTCCTCTGTGTCCTAAAGCTCCATCGTCACGAGCTGATAAAGATCGTCCAGGAAAGTCTAACAGATGTTTTTGCGAACGACCAATCTAAGTCCCTTTTTTTTTGTTTTTTTTTAATTAGCGTTTGGGTTTTTAATACGTTATACATTGAGGTTCAAACCCATTACATACGTACTAAAACGGTTGGGGCATCTGATTGCAAAACTAATTAGTATGGTATATGCCACACTTGACATATACTATTCTATTAGACCAAAACAGTGGCCCAACATGCCGAGAAAATAAAACTTATATATTTTTCTTACATTACACATACATTTTGATGATCCCTTATAATTAAATTAATAATATATATTTTATTATTTTAAAAATATTTCTTAACCCAAAAAAAAATTATACTAGTTATCCTTACACATAAGTTTGTAAAGAATTCTTTTTTGTTGATATAGATGGTCAGGAATGTTTTTCTGACATTTCCTTTTATATAAAAAATTATATGTTATATTTTAAATATAAAAATATAATATATTAATGTTTAAAATAGAGTTATGTTAGTTTATTTTTGTGTAAATGTATTGTATATATTTTTGTAATAAATAATATACTAATAAAGTCTTATAATTTTGTATCCACGTATGTGAAATATAATTGTGTTAATTTCAAATTTTTATTTATTTATTTTTATTATATATATATATAATTTATTTGTTAAATTATGAATGTTTAATTTTTTGTTTGTAGGAATTATAATTTTGTAATCTTCTATCTACTAACTATTTTTAAATTTTTTTTGGAAGCAAATGTTTTTCCAAAATACTCATTATATTAAAAAGAAAAAGAGTATATATTAATGCTATTAATTTAAATAATATTTATTTTACTGATTCAAAAATGATATTTTAATGTTATTTAGTTTTTGTTAATAACTATATTAGTTTTAGTAGTACTATTTATTTATTTTATATGTATTTTAAAAAAATCTAAAGTAAATTTTTTATTAATGCTTTCTTGCTGATGTGGCAAAAAGAGAGAGTAATTTTAAAAATATGATGTGGATAGCTTTAGGAGCCTCAAATTTCTTCTTTCATTTAGTTTTTTTCATAATAATTTAAATATAGAAATATAATATATTAATGTTTAAAATAGAGTTATGCTAGTTTATTTTTTGGTAAATATATTGTATATATTTTTGTAATAAGTAATGTATAATAAAATTTTAATTTTAATTAGTTTTTGTTAATAAAATTTTAGTACTACTATTTATTTATTTTATATGTATTTTTAAAAAAAATCTAAAGTGAATTTTTTTATTAATGTTTTCTTGTTGATGTGGCAAAATGAGAAAGTAATTTTAAAAATATGATGTGAATGGCTTTAGGAGCCTCAAATTTCTCTTTTCATTTAGTTTTTTTTTCATAATATTTTTATGCTATACTTTAAATATAGAAATATAATATATTAATGTTTAAAATAGAGTTATGCTAGTCTATTTTTTGGTAAATATATTGTATATATTTTTGTAATAAGTAATGTATAATAAAATCTTATAAGTTTATATTTGTGGAGACAATAGATAATTTTGTATCCACGTATGTGAAATACAGTTGTGATAATTTCAAAATTATATTTATTTATTTGTTATGTATATAATCTTTTTGTTTCTAGAAGATGAACGCTTTAGATTTTTCTAAATTGTGAATATTTGTTTATTTTTTTTAAAAAATATCATTTTGTAATCTCCTATCTATTAACTGTTATTTAAGTGTCTTTGAAGAAATTTGTTTTCTAAAATACTCATTATATTAGAAAGACAAACAGTATATATTAACTATGATAACTCAAATCCGACCTAAAAAAACGAACGAGAGATTGTGGGTTTAAAGAGGGGATTCTTGCAAAAATGACCTAAAATTTGATTTGAATTGCAAATCTAACCCACAAAAATCACCTTCCCAATATTTGCCATTTTGTGTCCAAACAATCCTTCATAGTTTCAGTTATTCAAGAAATTGCCATTATTTTTAATTAATTTCTTTTATTTTCGGAAATCCAAATGACCAACTAATCCTCATCTTCCTCACTTATTTACGAAAATGCTCCGAAAGTAGACTTTTCTCGGTCCGAATGAAGTCTACTAGTCAACGCCCATGTTAGTTTTGCAATTGACCACATGAAAAAGTAGACTTCTTTTGGTCCGAATGAAGTCTACTCCATTTCCTTTGATAACAAAAAAATAGAGTAGACTTCTCGAGTAGACTTCTTTAGAAGCAGGTCATTTTTGCAATTGACCAACCTTTGACTTTGTAGAGTAGACTTCTCTATGCAAAGTAGACTTCTCCGAGAAGTCTACTTTTGTAAGTAGACTTCTCGCATGTCATTTTTGCAATTGAAAAATATTTGACATTTTGGTCAATTGCAAAAATGACTTGCGAGAAGTCTACTCTTAAGTAAAGGAGGGCGAATCTTGTTTATGGAGAATGGGTTAAGAGTGAATCAATGTGGCAGTTTTATATGGATAATAGCAAAGGAGGGCGAATGTTGTTCTTAAGAGATGGTTGCATACATGGTGAGCTTCTTGGTGAATGTTGGCAAAGGAGGGCGAATGTTGTCACCTTTAAGTTATGTAAAATTAATATCTTTAAGGTCTACTCGAGATAATGAGAAGTCTACTTCAGAAGTCTACTCGAGACAAGAGAAGTCTACTCGATTGACAAGTTATATGATATAAATGAGAGAAATGTCCCTCTGAATCACTTTTAAGTTATGTAAAATTAATGCCTTTTAGAAGTCTACTCGAGATATGAGAAGTCTACTCGAGACAGGAGAAGTCTACTCGAGACAAGAGAAATCTACTCGGTTGACAAGTTATATGATATAAATGGGAGAAATGTTCCTCTGAATCACTTATAAGTTATGCAAAGTTAATGGCTTTAAGAAGTCTACTCGAGACAGGAGAAGTCTATTTTGTACAATAAATAAACATAGATAATTTAGGAATTTGATACAAAACATTCAATGCAATTCAATATTATATAGAAAATAACCCTCTAAACAAACAAATATTTAAGGATCACTAGTTATAAATCTTAAAACTGGCATAAGAAATTACTAGTAAACTAAAATCTCTGAAAATTATGTATGCAACTGAAGTCTGCTTGAGAAGTCTGCTCAAGATCGAGAAGTCTACTCGAGAAGTCTGCTCGAGATCGAGAAGTCTACTCGAAAAGTCTACATTCAGATCTGCAAAAAAAAATCAACAAGATTCAGCTCTGTAACAATAACAAAAAAATTAGATCTAGAACAAAATCTATAAAATT